TTGAAACGCACTGCCAGAAGAGTTGGGCTTGCACAGAGGGAAACACGCACACCGGCAATGCTAAAGCTCTTTCAGAAAGCCCTAGCCAAGGCGAGGGAGCGCATGACAGAGCTCAGGCAAGATAACTGGGAAACTTTTGTTAACAGTCTCAACTCTCACACCCCCCTCAGCATGGCATGGAAGGATATTAAAAGAATTAAAGGCGATAAGATCGGCCAAGTAGCACACCCTCACCCTCTACACAGAGTAAACGAGTTAGTCGATGCTTGGGCAACCACCTCTAGCTTCAATAATCTTCCCCCAGCCATACAGTTCAGATTAAATGCTGGTTACGGAGATCGAGAAAGGCTCGTTGACTTCATGCTCCACAAGGAAGATGAATGCAACGTGCCATTTACTGAGTTTGAATTACTCGCGGCCCTAAACAAAGGCAAAGCCACATCCCCCGGTGAAGATGGTATCACTTATGACATATTGCGTCTGCTCCCTTTAGTACCAGGGAATCCTCTGCTTGAGCTGTATAATATGAGCTATGTTACTGGGGAGCTTCCTAACTCTTGGACCAACAGTATAATCATTCCAATTCCCAAGCCAAATCAAGAGAATGCTTTCCGCCCAATTTCCCTTACTAGCTGCATTTGCAAAACATTCGAGAGAATGGTCCTAAACCGTCTCCTCCATAGAATAAGAACCATGCTATCCCCCCAGATATATGGCTTCATGCATGGAAGGAGTGTGCATCATTGCATCACCACCTTTCTTACCCTGCACACTGAAAAGTCATATACCACCTTCCTAGATCTTAAGTCTGCCTTTGATATTGCAAATAGACATGTTATCTTGAGTGAGCTTGCAAGAATGAATATTGGTGGTCGGCTTCTTTGTTGGATCAGGGGTTACTTATCCAACAGGAAGTCATCTATATTTTTCAAGGGTCATAGGAGTGTAACAAGAGACTGAACTAGGTACCCCGCAGGGAGGTGTCCTCAGTCCTACCTTATTTAATATCTTAATAAACACGCTGTTAAACTCTATACCGAGCAAACCTATCGTCCACATCATTAGCTATGCTGATGATATAATGATACACACCACTGGGTATGCTAACACGCACAACACTCTTAACTCTGTATTAGACTCATGTCTGGACCTAGGTTTAGTTATCTCAGCAGAGAAAACAAAGATACTAAATCGGCGTCCACCCAGGCAGGGAGGAGCTGTTCGCAAGATGCAACTGTCTGATGGCTCCGAGCTTGACTATGTAAACAGATTCAAATACCTTGGCCTTGAGGTGCCACTGTATGGTCCTGTTGTATTCAGACTCTGTCGTCAGTATAAAGAGAGGCTCCGAGCTCTCAAGGCTGTTGCAGGTTATCACTCAGGCTATAGTGTCAATGTCAGAATTGTCAAAATGATGTACCTTGCATACATCAGATCTTTAGTGGATTATGTTGCACGTCTGCTTGTTTTGATGCCTGAAAGAAAGCTTGGAGGGCTTACAAATTGCAGAACGAAGCCTTGAGGATAATCATTGGGTGCCCTCGTACCACAGAGATACTTAATATGAGAAAGGAACTTAATATTCTGAGCGTAGTTGATCGTGTTACTGAAATTAACTGTCAAATTGGTATAAAAATGCATAGGCTAACTCATCCTAACCCTTACACAGAAGCCCTCCAGAATTTCTTTATTGAAGATCAGCATTGTTCCAAATGGATAACTAAAACTGGAACTCAACTCAGAATGTATCAGGTTCATGATTTGTACCAAGAGAAACAACAACAGGACTTTCCTGCACCGTGGGAGGTTACACCCTTTCCAATTTTAATCCCTCCCTTTCCACCCAAGAAGCAAATGAGAGATCAGCCCAAGCTTCGTCTTGAGGCAAAGCTCAACGCCTTAAGCCATATTGATGCTCTGTCCACAGAGCATTCTCTCTCTCTCAAATCATATACACTGATGGTTCCCTACACCGTCCCACGGGTGCAGCTGGAAGTGCAGTTGTTCTGACAATGGGCGATGGCCTATACTTTGAGTGGGGAGTCCGTATAAACAACTGGGCCTCTACCCTTCAGACTGAACTATTTGCCTTGATCCTTGCACTGAAATGTGTACAAGTCTCCAAACTTGATACATTAATTGTAAGTGACTCCTTATCATCCTTATTTGCTCTCAACTCTTGAAGACATAACTGTAACATGCTCGTGTCCGAAGCTAGACACAAATACAACAAAATTATTAAGGATGGTAACAGTCCATTCCATGTGGTCTCCATCTCATGTTGGCCTCGGAATGCATGATAGAGCTGATGAGTTAGCCGAAGAATCTGCCTTTAAAGGAGCCGTTGAGTGTAACCTTGGATTGTCAATGAGCAATCTGAGAGCAGCAGTACACCGAGAACTTCAACAAAATCTTGTAGATCTGAGGCAAAGTGAAATTGACACCGGTAATTCCATCTATCATCATACATCATACTATCATGCAAGAGGAGCCACACATCTATGAATCATCCAATAAAATCAGCAGACTTCTAGATGTTACTACTGCTCGGCTTAGACTCGGTTACAAGTATCTCTGGGAATTGTCATTATCTGCTGATGTAGACCTGACCAAATGTAAACTGTGTCAACAAAATTATTCGCACACGCTCCGTCACTATGTGATGGCAACCCGTTCTCGCAAATTCGTAAAGTCAATATTGACTTATTAACTACGTGCATAGGTGATATACTAAACATAATAGATACCCTTAAAAAGATTCATAGAAAACACCGACCTTACCTAACCTTGTTAGTATCTTAAGATAAGCATCTTATTGCTTCGTAATTACAATTATTACTTAACCTATACCTATTATTGGTTAGGTAATAATTGTAATTACGAAGTAATAAGATGCTTATCTTAAGATACTAACAAGGTTAGGTAAGGTCGGTGTTTTCTATGAATCTTTTTAAGGGTGATGGAGTGCGAAAAGATACGTGAATTTAGAGACAATTCTATAACCAATGTTCCAGCGATGTGTCAATATTTCATTCAAAATGATCTGCTACCAGAAATTTTAGCCAAATATCCCCAGTTTGCTAACTGTAGGTAGTAACTAAGTGATTGTAACCTATCCACTGGATGGGGGGCGGTGTGCAGGACAAACATATAAATTGTGACACTAGCTCTCCACATATGTCAGTTGCTTAATTTAGAAACTGTACTTGTGGTCGATCTCGAACCCATTGTTGATGTAACTAGCTCATCAAGACTGTAACTTACTTAGCTAAATTAATTGTGGGGTGCAGTCCCTGAGCCCATTATGTGCCTCTGTAACCCTTTCCACTACCGCCCACAAGATGGGTATGGGGTGCATAATAAATGAACTAAACTAAACTTATCAATATAATTATTATTATTATTATTATTATTATTATTATTATTATTATTATTATTATTATTATGTTGGGTGATACCTGTTGGATGGTATCCATACATAGCAAATTTTCTCTAAATCTCTTACAACCCACAACAGTTCCCTAACTCCCGCGAACCTGAGGCATCAGGTGAAAGGAAACATGCCCAAAAGTTTCCGCCCTACGTATAGAAATTGAACTCAGGACCTTTATGATAAGCAAAATATGAGTTTTCTATTCCCGACAATAGGAAACGTAATTAACTCTAATAATGGGGGAAATTTTTGACACGCTGCCGGCTTTCTGTCCCCGTCAAGGGCCACTAGAGTTGTTGGTCCTCCGGTAAATTCAGGTAAATTCAGTGACCGAGTGCGTCAAGTTGGTCGTTTGGTCACGCCCTCACATACGCACCCATTCAATAATGAACGCTACCGGCTACCTATTTACCATATATAAACAAAGCTCATAAACATTTTAATATATAAATTACAGGATTGAAAATCTTAATTTTACTCATTAATTATATATAATAAATGTATACAAATGTAAACTATTTACGTTAATGTAAATACAAAAGTAAATATAAAGCGGTGAATGGGAGGGGACTACACTACAGTGTTTACAGTTGTAACGACCTTAGCGTCACAGCTGGGCCGTGTTGCCAGATCCCACTACCTGAAAAAACACCTCCCGGGGGACTGGGACGCACAGTATACTAACCGTCGGTGCTTCACGGTAGTCAGCTACTCTATCCTTTTGAGATGTACTTCCTTTTCTCAATAAACTTACTTGAACTTATACCGTCGTTGCTGGCAATTCAATTTCTTTCTTTATTATGCACCCCATGCCCATCCCGTGGGCGGTGGTGTTGCTGGCAACAGTAAAAAACACGAATTTTTGGATCGTGATCAATAAAATTCTAAAACTTTTGCGTTTAATTCTGATTTTTTTTTACAAGGAATGTATTCACCTAGCTGTGCTTGCGGGGGTTGAGCTCTGGCTCTTTCAGCCCGCCTCTTAACTGTCAATCTCTTAACTGTTAGTCTCCGTGGTGTAGTGGTAAGACACTCGCCTGGCGTTCCGCGAGCGCTATGTCATGGGTTCGAATCCTGGCCAAGGGAGGATTTACTGGGCGCAAATCCTTAACTGTAGCCTCTGTTTAACGCAACAGTAAAATGTGTACTTGGATGAAAAAACGATTCTTCGCGGCGGGGATCGTATTCCAGGGACCTGCCCGAAACGCTACGCGTACTAGTGGCTCTACAAGAATGTAACAACTCTTGTATATATCTCAAAAAAAAAAAAAAATCAACTTTTTTTTCCACACACACATCCTCAGGAAGCAGTCCGCAGCAGCTGTCTAACTCCCAGGTACCTATTTTCTACTAGGTGAATAGGTGCATCAGGGTGAATGAAACTCTGCCCATTTGTTTCTGCCATCGCCGGGATCGATCTCCGAACCTAGGATTACGAGTACCGTTCGGTGTCCACTCAGCCACCAAGGCCCCCCCCCTAGAAGTCGCGCAGAACTCTACGTCCTCGGCTCCCTCGGTTTCGATCACCGGGCGGGATAGATAGGTGCCCACTTTCCTTTCACCTGACTCATCTGTTCACCTAGCATCAAATATAAGTACCCTGAGTTAGTGAAATGTTATGCGTTATATCTTGCGGAAGGTTATCTTGAGATGATTTCGAGGCTTAGCGTTCCCGCGGCCCAGTCCTCTACCAGGCCTCTTTTTGGGGGTCCGTCTAATTACCGCAAGCTACCACAAGCTACACAAGCTACACAAAGCTTCCTGGCAATACGGTAGTAATGAATAAATATGATATGTTAGGTTAGGTTGACCTAACCTAACCTAACCTAACCTAACCGACGCTTGGATCGTCGACTTGATTTGGCGTCGCCAGCTCTTTACTTTCGCCTAATTTCTTTATAAAAAGATACTTTTTCAGATTAAAATTATGTTTTTTCGTGTTGTACATTCAGCACCAACTTTATAAACCCTTTCCACTACCGCCCACAAGATGGGTATGAGGTGCATAATAAATGAACTAAACTAAATACCCTCCCCCTCCAGTGGGCAGCGGTGGATAGGTTACAATCACTTAGTTACAACCTACAGTTAGCAAACTAAAACTCAGTTTTACCACTACCGATATAGATATAGATATAGAGACACACACAACCCATACCGTAAGGGTTGTGGGTGCCTCTAAATCACTCCCACTGCCGCTCACAGGAAAGATAAGGGTTGTGGGTGCCTCTATATCACTCCCACTGCCGCTCACAGGAAAGATAAGGGTTGTGGGTGCCTCTATATCACTCCCACTGCCGCGCACAGGAAAGATAAGGGTTGTGGGTGCCTCTATATCACTCCCACTGCCGCGCACAGGAAAGATAAGGGTTGTGGGTGCCTCTAAATCACTCCCACTGCCGCTCACAGGAAAGATAAGGGTTGTGGGTGCCTCTAAATCACTCCCACTGCCGCTCACAGGAAAGATAAGGGTTGTGGGTGCCTCTAAATCACTCCCACTGCCGCTCACAGGAAAGATAAGGGTTGTGGGTACCTCTATATCACTCCCACTGCCGCTCACAGGAAAGATAAGGGTTGTGGGTGCCTCTATATCACTCTCACTGCCGCTCACAGGAAAGATAAGGGTTGTGGGTGCCTCTATATCACTCTCACTGCCGCTTACAGGAAAGATAAGGGTTGTGGGTACCTCTATATCACTCCCACTGCCGCTCACAGGAAAGATAAGGGTTGTGGGTGCCTCTATATCACTCCCGCTGCCGCTCACAGGAAAGATAAGGGTTGTGGGTGCCTCTATATCACTCCCACTGCCGCTCACAGGAAAGATAAGGGTTGTGGGTGCCTCTATATCACTCCCACTGCCGCGCACAGGAAAGATAAGGGTTGTGGGTGCCTCTATATCACTCCCACTGCCGCTCACAGGAAAGATAAGGGTTGTGGGTGCCTCTATATCACTCCCACTGCCGCTCACAGGAAAGGTAAGGGTTGTGGGTGCCTCTATATCACTCCCACTGCCGCTCACAGGAAAGATAAGGGTTGTGGGTGCCTCTATATCACTCCCACTGCCGCTCACAGGAAAGATAAGGGTTGTGGGTGCCTCTATATCACTCCCACTGCCGCTCACAGGAAAGATAAGGGTTGTGGGTGCCTCTATATCACTCCCACTGCCGCTCACAGGAAAGGTATGGGTTGTGGGTGCCTCTATATCACTCCCACTGCCGCTCACAGGAAAGATAAGGGTTGTGGGTGCCTCTATATCACTCCCACTGCCGCTCACAGGAAAGGTATGGGTTGTGGGTGCCTCTATATCACTCCCACTGCCGCTCACAGGAAAGATAAGGGTTGTGGGTGCCTCTATATCACTCCCACTGCCGCTCACAGGAAAGATAAGGGTTGTGGGTGCCTCTATATCACTCCCACTGCCGCTCACAGGAAAGGTATGGGTTGTGGGTGCCTCTATATCACTCCCACTGCCGCTCACAGGAAAGGTAAGGGTTGTGGGTGCCTCTATATCACTCCCACTGCCGCTCACAGGAAAGGTAAGGGTTGTGGGTGCCTCTATATCACTCCCACTGCCGCTCACAGGAAAGGTAAGGGTTACATAATTAATAAACTAAGATAAAACACAGTAATATCAAAACACATTGGTATTTATATTATACTACCCATATTATAATCTACAACACAATCGGATACGTTCTCGACTCACAATCGAGAATTCCGAATTCGAATCCCATGCCCCCAATCAAATCCGAGGCGAATTTGATTGGGCGCGTTTTCTGTGACCTAATGCACATGTTCACCTAGCAGTAAATAGGAACCTGGGAGTTAGACAGCTGCCACAGGCTGCATCCTGGGGATGTGTGTGTGTGTTAGAGAAAAATATATGTAGTAGATATGATGGAGGAAAAGAGTTTGGGAGGCAGTACATTAGACAACTGACGTTTAGAAAAGCGGGGTCCAAGAGCTAACACCATTTCTGATGGCCTCGACGGGGCAGGAAGTCGGCGGCTGCTCAAAGTCCTCCGGCCGGTGCCCACCCCCAATATACCTGAAGATTTTTCCGGCTTAATTTTAAACGGAAGTAATGTCTTGGAATTTACGGCTTCAGAGGGTAGGCGGTTCCATGGTTTCATTACCCTCTGCGTGAAAAAGAATTGCCTGTTCTCTATCTTATATTGTCGCTTATTGAACCTGAAGCTGTTGCCCTTGTGTGCGTTACACAAGGGGGCTATCTCTATCTTGAGGTTATCTTGAGATGATTTCGGGGCTTTAGTGTCCCCGCGGCCCGGTCCTCGACCAGGCCTCCACCCCCAGGAAGCAGCCCGTGACAGCTGACTAACACCCAGGTACCTATTTTACTGCTAGGTAACAGGGGCATAGGGTGAAAGAAACTCTGCCCATTGTTTCTCGCCGGCGCCTGGGATCGAACCCCAGGACCGGGGCGGCCGGATTAATATCTTCCAATATTTCCAGCATTTGTTAAGGTCTCGATTAGATCAGCCCAGTCTAATTTATAATTTTTGTGGTGAGCCAAAAATAAATTGTTCCAAAAACAGTATTTTTTGTTTTGACATTTCACATATGTCACATATGTATTCTAAGAGTTATACCCGGTTGTTCCTGAGTGTCTCTTTCCCCTTTCCATATCTCTGTTTCCCTATCTTCCTCCCTCCCCTTTCTCACCCAAAAAACCCGCTCTCTTCTCTCCCGGGCTCCTCTCCCAGTCTGCCCCCCCTCTCTAATTCACCCCATCATACCCATTCTCTATCTTCCGCCAACATCTTCCCCTCACACATCACCCAGAGGATTCTCAGAGGAATTGACAGGGTAGATAAAGACAGGCTATTTACCACAAGGGGCACACGCACTAGGGGACACAGGAGGAAATTGAGTGCCCAAATGAGCTATAGAGACGTTAGAAAGAATTTTTTCAGTGTCAGAGTAGTAGACAAATGGACCCAGAATGTGGAATGAACTTCCCAATCATGTTAAAGACTGTACCTCTCTCAACCAGTTTAAAATAAAAACTAAACACTACCTAATTAACTCCCTGTAACCTACCTCACCCCTATAATATCAACCCATGCCTGCTATTTTTTTTAAACAATGCTGTTTGTCGACCAAATTGTATTTTTTGCTGTTATTTTGCCATGTTCCCAACTTTTTTATTTTTATATTTTCTCAACACATTTTATACTTTAATCTCAATTAGTATTAAGTTTTAGTCTTTAGTGTTTCCTGCCCGAAACACTTTGCGTAATAGTGGCTTTAGGCATTGTATGTACTAGCTCTGTCTATAAATTCATCAATATTTGTATCACACCTTGTATGTATGTACTTTACCTGAATAAACATTTGAATTTGAATTTGAATGCATTAGGAAGTAATGTGGTGGAGGCTGACTCCATACACAGCTTCAAGTGTAGATATGATAGAGCCCAGTAGGCTCAGGAACCTGTACACCTGTTAATTGACAGTTGAGAGGCGGGACCAAAGAGCCAGAGCTCAACCCCCCCCCCCCCCCCGGCAAGCGCAAGTAGGTAAGTACAACTAAGTAAGTACCTGTCTCCCCCTCTCTCCATCCCTCCCTTCATACATCTCTCTTCTCCTTTCCTCTCTTCAAACATCCTCTCGCTTTCTCAGAAAAATTATATAACGAGGTACTGAAACTGTTGAATAAGTCTACTATAGTCTACTGGCGAAACAGCCCAGGGATATCCCTGAAAAAAAATACCAATTGGGGTCCACTATACCGCCCACAGGATAGGTATGGGGTCCACTACCGCCCACAGGATGGGTATGGGGTCCACTACCGCCCACAGGATGGGTATGGGGTCCACTACCGCCCACAGGATGGGTATGGGGTCCACTACCGCCCACAGGATGGGTATGGGGTCCACTACCGCCCACAGGATGGGTATGGGGTCCACTACCGCCCACAGGATGGGTATGGGGTCCACTACCGCCCACAGGATGGGTATGGGGTCCACTATACCGCCCACAGGATGGGTATGGGGTCTACTACCGCCCACAGGATGGGTATGGGGTCCACTATACCGCCCACAGGATGGGTATGGGGTCCACTATACCGCCCACAGGATGGGTATGGGGTCCACTATACCGCCCACAGGATGGGTATGGGGTCCACTATACCGCCCACAGGATGGGTATGGGGTCCACTATACCGCCCACAGGATGGGTATGGGGTCCCACTACCGCCCACAGGATGGGTATGGGGTCCACTATACCGCCCACAGGATGGGTATGGGGTCCACTACCGCCCACAGGATGGGTATGGGGTCCACTATACCGCCCACAGGATGGGTATGGGGTCTCACTACCGCCCACAGGATGGGTATGGGGTCTACTACCGCCCACAGGATGGGTATGGGGTCCACTACCGCCCACAGGATGGGTATGGGGGTTCACTACCGCCCACAGGATGGGTATGGGGGTCCACTACCGCCCACAGGATGGGTATGGGGTTCCACTACCGCCCACAGGATGGGTATGGGGTTCCACTACCGCCCACAGGATGGGTATGGGGTCCACTACCGCCCACAGGATGGGTATGGGGTCTACTACCGCCCACAGGATGGGTATGGGGTCCACTATACCGCCCACAGGATGGGTATGGGGTCTACTACCGCCCACAGGATGGGTATGGGGTCTACTACCGCCCACAGGATGGGTATGGGGTCCACTACCGCCCACAGGATGGGTATGGGGTCCACTACCGCCCACAGGATGGGTATGGGGTCCACTACCGCCCACAGGATGGGTATGGGGTCTACTACCGCCCACAGGATGGGTATGGGGTCCACTACCGCCCACAGGATGGGTATGGGGTCCACTACCGCCCACAGGATGGGTATGGGGTCTACTACCGCCCACAGGATGGGTATGGGGTCCACTACCGCCCACAGGATGGGTATGGGGTCCACTACCGCCCACAGGATGGGTATGGGGTCCACTACCGCCCACAGGATGGGTATGGGGTATACCGCCCACAGGATGGGTACTACCGCCCACAGGATGGGTATGGGGTCCACTACCGCCCACAGGATGGGTATGGGGTCCACTACCGCCCACAGGATGGGTATGGGGTCCACTACCGCCCACAGGATGGGTATGGGGTCCACTACCGCCCACAGGATGGGTATGGGGTCCACTACCGCCCACAGGATGGGTATGGGGTCCACTACCGCCCACAGGATGGGTATGGGGTCCACTACCGCCCACAGGATGGGTATGGGGTCCACTACCGCCCACAGGATGGGTATGGGGTCCACTACCGCCCACAGGATGGGTATGGGGTCCACTACCGCCCACAGGATGGGTATGGGGTCCACTACCGCCCACAGGATGGGTATGGGGTCCACTACACGCGCCCACAGGATGGGTATGGGGTCCACTACCGCCCACAGGATGGGTATGGGGTCTACTCCACAGGATGGGTATGGGGTCCACTACCGCCCACAGGATGGGTATGGGGTCCACTACCGCCCACAGGATGGGTATGGGGTCTACTACCGCCCACAGGATGGGTATGGGGTCCACTACCGCCCACAGGATGGGTATGGGGTCCACTATACCGCCCACAGAATGGGTATGGGGTCCACTACCGCCAACAGGATGGGTATGGGGTCTACTACCGCCCACAGGATGGGTATGGGGTCCACTACCGCCCACAGGATGGGTATGGAGTCCACTAGTACCGCCCACAGGATGGGTATGGGGTCCACTACCGCCCACAGGATGGGTATGGGGTCCACTACCACCCATAGGATGGGTATGGAGTCCACTAGTACCGTCCATAGGATGGGTATGGGGTCCACTAGTACCGCCCACAGGATGGGTATGGGGTCCATTACCGCCCATAGGATGGGTATGGAGTCCACTAGTACCGCCCATAGGATGGGTATGGGGTCCATTACCGCTCACAAGTTGGGTATGGGGTCCACTACCGCTCACTTTATGGGTATGGGGTCCACTACCGTCCACAGGATGGGTATGGGGGTCCACTACCGCCCACAGGATGGGTATGGGGTCCATTACCGCTCACAAGTTGGGTATGGGGTCCACTACCGCCCACAGGATGGGTATGGGGTCCATTACCGCTCACAAGTTGGGTATGGGGTCCACTACCGCCCACAGAATGGGTATGGGGTCCACTACAATAAAAAATAAAAAAATAAAATAAAATATTTATTCAGGTAAAGTACATACATACAAGATGAAATACAAAAGTTGATGGAGTTATAGATAGAGTTAGTACATACAATGCCTAAAGCCACTATTACGCAAAGCGTTTCGGGCAGGAAAAACATTAAAGACTAAAACTTAATACTAATTGAGATTAAAGTATAAATTGTGTTGAGAACAAATAAAAATAAAGATAAAAAAGGGGGAAACATGGCTGAAAACGCAGCACAAATACAATTAGGTCGACAAACAGCGTTGTTAAAGAAAACAGACATGGGTTGACAATAGGGGGGGGTAAGGTAGGTTACAGGGAATTTATTAGGTAGTGCTTCGTTTTTATCTTAAACTGGTTGAGAGAGGTACAGTCTTTAACATGGTTGGGAAGGTCATTCCACATTCTGGAATGTGGAATGAAACTACCGCTCACAAGTTGGGTATGGGGTCCACTACCACCAACAGGATGGGTATGGGGGTCCACTACCACCAACAGGATGGGTATGGGGGTCCACTACCACCAACAGGATGGTATGGGGGTTCACTACCACCGACAGGATGGTATGGGGGTTCATTACCACCGACAGGATGGGTATGGGGTTCACTACCACCGACAGGATGGTATGGGGGTCCACTACCACCAACAGGATGGGTATGGGGTTCACTACCACCGACAGGATGGGTATGGGGTTCACTACCACCGACAGGATGGGTATGGGGTTCACTACCACCAACAGGATGGTATGGGGGTCCACTACCACCGACAGGATGGGTATGGGGTTCACTACCACCGACAGGATGGTATGGGGGTTCACTACCACCGACAGGATGGTATGGGGGTCCACTACCACCGACAGGATGGGTATGGGGTTCACTACCACCGACAGGATGGTATGGGGGTTCACTACCACCGACAGGATGGTATGGGGGTCCACTACCACCGACAGGATGGGTATGGGGTTCACTACCACCGACAGGATGGTATGGGGGTTCACTACCACCGACAGGATGGTATGGGGGTCCACTACCACCGACAGGATGGTATTGGGGTCCACTACCACCGACAGGATGGTATGGGGGTCCATTACCACCGACAGGATGGTATGGGGGTTCACTACCACCGACAGGATGGTATGGGGGTTCACTACCACCGACAGGATGGTATGGGGGTTCACTACCACCGACAGGATGGTATGGGGGTCCACTACCACCGACAGGATGGTATGGGGGTTCACTACCACCGACAGGATGGTATGGGGGTTCACTACCACCGACAGGATGGTATGGGGGTTCACTACCACCGACAGGAGGGTATGGGGGTTCACTACCACCGACAGGATGGTATGGGGGTCCACTACCACCGACAGGATGGTATGGGGGTTCACTACCACCGACAGGATGGTATGGGATCCACTACCGTCCACAAGATGGGTATGGGGTCCACTACCACCGACAGGATGGTATGGGGGTTCACTACCACCGACAGGATGGTATGGGATCCACTACCGTCCACAAGATGGGTATGGGGTCCACTACCACCGACAGGATGGTATGGGATCCACTACCACCCACAGAATGGGTATTGGTATAAAAAGTAAATGAACTAAATTAGAACTCGTCTCATTTTTCTGCAAACGTTTTTCATCCTTTCCCGTCACCTATTGTAATATATTTTTTGTTCTCATTTGTTCCACACTCCGTATCTCCTGAGTATTCCCTCAACCACAGCTGCCCCCCCCCCCACCCCGTTCAGAGGGGACTGTGGCTGAGTGGAAAGAATTTCCATTAATGAAAAACGTGACCTTGAGAAGAAGTATAGGTTAGGAATCGTCTCCAAAGAATTTTCAAATAATTACTCTTCATTGCTATCTAAAATAATTAGGAGAACCAAAATTAAAAACTACGAAGATAAATTTACCCACACAAAGGGCAACATTAAGAAAACTTGGAGCACAATTTCTCAAATATTGGGGCCAAAGAAGACTTTAAATAACAAACCAATACTCCAGTCAAATAATGATGGTCTGCTTTCAGCCTCTGACACTGCTTTTGAGTTCAATAGGTTCTTCTCTTCCATTGGGTCATTCCTTGCAAATGATATTCCATCTTCCAGTACTAATATTCAGGACTATCTTACAGGTAACTATCCACAGTCTCTGTACCTAATACCTACTAATTCCACTGATGTTACTGACATAATCCTTTCCCTTAAAACTAAGTCGAGTGCCCTTGAGGAGATATCAACTCTTATTTACAAAAAAAAACTCCAGATTTTTAGCTCCTGCCATTGCATTGCTCTTCAACAAGTCACTTGAACTCCAAACCTTTCCAGATATCAAAAAAAAAAAAAAGCGAGAGTAACCCCTGTCCACAAATGTGGTAATCCCACTGATGTTAACAACTTCAGACCTATATCAATCCTGCCTAACTTGTCTAAAATATTTGAAAAACTTATCTACAAGCAGCTTTACTCTTATCTAGCCAAACACAATATACAATTAGCTCTTGTCAATATGGCTTCAGACCCAAAAAAAGCACTAACGATGCACTTATTAGTATGATTAACTTGATGCATGCAGCTCTTGATAAAAATGAGTTCCCTGTTGGGTTATTTGTGGACCTGCGTAAGGCTTTTAACACTGTCAACCACCAAAACCTTCTTCTTAAATTACAACATTATGGAGTCAGAGGTCACTCCCTGCAATACCTTAAGTCTTACCTTACTGACAGGCTCCAATATGTTTCTGTGAATAATTCAATTTCTCCCACCCTACCCATCAACATTGGTGTTCCTCAGGGCAGCATACTTGGCCCCTCTCCTCTTTCTCATCTACATTAATGACCTTCCAAATGCCTCTCAACATCTCAAACCAATTCTATTTGCTGACGACACGACCTTCATTTACTCCAGTCCTGACCCCCTTCTTGAGGTTATCTTGAGATGATTTCGGGGCTTTTTTAGTGTCCCCGCGCCCAGGAAGCAGCCCGTGACAGCTGACTAACTCCCAGGTACCTATTTACTGCTAGGTAACAGGGGCATTCAGGGTGAAAGAAACTTTGCCCATTCGTTTCTGCCTCGTGCGGGAATCGAACCCGTGCCACAGAATTACGAGTCCTGCGCGCTATCCACCAGGCTACGAGGCCCCTACACCTTGCTCTAAATGTCACAGTGAATACTGAGCTAAATAAAGTCCATCACTGGCTAACTGCCAACAAACTCTCCCTCGATATTGACAAAACTTTCTATATTTTGTTTGGCAATAAATACTCAAATCAAATAAATCTCAGGATTATCAATACCCAAATTTGTAACAAAGTAGATGGCAAATTCCTTAGCGTTCTCATAGACCACAAGCTGAATTTCCAGGGACACATTCTAAATATATCAAAAAAAGTTTCAAAAACTGTTGGCATTCTTTCTAAGATCAGATATTATGTACCTCGCCCTGCCCTAGTGACACTCTATTACTCTCTCATCTATCCTTATCTCAACTATGGTATTTGTGCTTGGGGTTCTACTACCCAAAACCATTTACGTCCTCTAATTACTCAACACAAAGCTGCTGTTAGGACAATATCCAACTCTGGCCCCAGACATCACTCGGTACCCTTACTCAAATCTCTGAATATGTTAGATATTAAGTCACTGCACATCCTCTCATGTGTATTTTATATATATAAAATGCTGAACTGTAATGTCAATCCTGACCTTAAAAGCTTTCTAGAAGGTTGTAACAGATCCCATGAGCACCACACCAGAAACAAATACCTATTTGATATTCCAAGAGTACGACTTAGTCAAACTAGAAATGCTCTACAAATCAAGGGACCTCGAATGTGGAATGACCCCAATTATGTTAAAGACTGTACCTCTCCCAACCAGTTTAAGATAAAAAGTAAGTACCACCTAATTAACTCATTGTAACCTACCTCACCCCTAAATGTCCACCCATGTTTACGATTTTAAATAATGCTGTTTTGTTGACCAAATTGTATTTTTGTTTTTTTCTGCCATGTTTCCCCCTCACCTTTTTTCATTTTTTTCTGATTTTTTCTCAACACAATTTATACTTTAATCTCAATTAGTATTAAGTTTTAGTTTTAGTGTTTTTCCTGCCCGAAACGCTTTGCGTAATAGTGGCTTTAGGCATTGTATGTACTAGCTCTATCTATAACTCCATCAACTTTTGTATTTCATCTTGTATGTATGTACTTTACCTGAATAAATATTTGTATTTGTATTTGTATTTGAAAGTGCTTGGGACTAATAATCCTAGGGTCCGGGTTCGATCCCCGGCGATGGCGGAAACAAATGAGCAGAGTTTCTTTCACCCTTGATGCCCCTGTTACCTAGCAGTAAATAGGTACCTGGGAGTTAAACAGCTGTTATAGGCTGCTTCTTGGGGGTACTCACCTAATTGTGCTTGCGGGGTTTGAGCTTTGGCTCTTTGGTCCCGCCTCTCAACTGTCAATCAAATGTGTGTGTGTGTGTGAGTGAAAAAAAGGTTGAGTGACAGTTGAGAGGCGGGCCGAAAGAGCAGAGCTCAACCCCCGCAAGAATAACTAGGTGAATACAACTAGGTGAATACCCCTTGCCTGTAATTGTGGGTCAGTCATGGCTGGGAGCGGTCAGTGGTGTGTACGAAGTGTGTAGTGTCCCTTATGGAAGAGTGTGCGTGGAGGCGGAGAGTGGCAACTGTGAGCTCTCTCCACCCCGCCAACTTTGACAAGTGTTGACAGCTACAAACAACGCCCTATCATCCAACTTTGACAGATGTGAGCAGCAATATCGACAACAACTTATTACTCAACTTTGCCAATTGGTGGTACAGCATCAACACCACTTTAGGACTGACAACACCACTTTCCCAGGACTGATCTAATCACTTGGTGACAAGGTTACCTGTATTTTACCTGAATTTTCCCGAGGGTCATCATGTCTGTAATGGTCTCGACGGGGACAGGAAGCCAGAGCTTTGTCAAATGCCCTTCATTATTCCTGAGGATTTTTCTATGGATTTTGAACTGAAGTAATGGCTTAGCATTTACGGCTTCATCAGGTAGGCGGTTCTGAAATGTATGTGTTTTACGGTGTAGCTTCTTACGTGAGGTTAAAGCTGTTACTCCTTGTGTGTGTTATATTTGGCCTTTTAAGGAAATGGTCTGGTTTAATATCCTCCAACTTGTTCACTGTTTTTTAAAGGTTTTGACGAGATGAATTCAGGGGATCAGCTGCTTTGCAGTGTTAGTCCTGACTTAGTTTTGGGATTAATTTTTATTTCCCAGTGTTAAACATTTTGCAAAACATGTGATTCTCCAAAGGATTTAGAAACCTACCTAACCTAAAGCAAACTAACCTAAACTAACCCAACCAAGCCCAGTGCAGCCTAACCTAAGCTAATACATACTAGCATAACTACATATACATTTTTAACGAACAAAAAATGAAGTTTATTGAATCGTCTCATGTCCAAAATTATCACCCCGGCCAGAAGACTGGCAAATGCTCTCCAATGTTGAAAAATACAAACACCTTGCATGAAGGGCTTAACAATGCTCATCAAAACTATCAAATTATCAGCTGACCTTGCAATAGATACTGTAGACAAAGAAATGGACATAGTAGCTAGGCTCCACTATCACTGAAAGTTGCAATTTTTTTATATTTATATATACAAGAGTTGTTACATTCTTGTACAGCCACTAGTACGCGTAGCGTTTCGGGCAAGTCCTTAATCCTATGGTCCCTTGAATACGATCCCCACGAAGAATTGTTTAACAGTCAGGTACCCATTTTACTGTTGGGTTAAACAGAGGCTACAGTTAAGGATTTGCACCCAGTAAATCTTTCCCGGCCAGGATACGAACCCAGGACAAAGCGCTCGCGGAACGCCAGGCGAGCATCTTACCACTACACCACAGAGACTAAGTTGATGCTGACATAAAAAAAAGCCAACCAAACCCAAGGGAATAGTCAAACAACCTGAGACTTCAATGAAAAGAAAGTGGTTATTCAACTATAAATAAATAAATATGTTTATTCAGGAAAGGTATATACATACAAGTGATGTTACATTAATGGATCGATATATAGATAGAGCTAGTACATACAATGCCTAAAGCCACTATTACGCAATGCGTTTCGGGCAACTGTACACATCAGGACTGCGGTATCCAAGCAGGGAGACACCTTCAAAAGTATCCAAGCAGGGAGACACCTTCAAAAGTATCCAAGCAGGGAGACACCTTCAAAAGTATCCAAGCAGGGAGACACCTTCAAAAAGTATCCAAGCAGGGAGACACCTTCAAAAGTATCCAAGCAGGGAGACACCTTCAAAAGTATCCAAGCAGGGAGACACCTTCAAAAGTATCCAAGCAGGGAGACACCTTCAAAAGTATCCAAGCAGGGAGACACCTTCAAAAAGTATCCAAGCAGGGAGACACCTTCAAAAGTATCCAAGCAGGGAGACACCTTATTTATTTATTTATTTATTTATTTATGCATATACAAGAATGTACATAAGGAATGTGAGGATACAATTATGATAATTACAGTCTTGTAAAGCCACTAGCACGCGCAGCGTTTCGGGCAGGTCCTTAATCTAAGAAAATTTTAAGGAGGTAAATACTTGCAAAATTTATAGACAAAAAAATGATAACAGATTACATGGAATGAAAAAAAAAAAAAGATGAGAGAAAATTATAGGTAGAGTATATTAAAGCACATAGGTAGCTATGATTGATTGCAATGACAGCTTAAAATGGTAGTTGACAACAAATTGGTAGGCACAATACAGCAGAAACAATATAAGATTGATTGCAATGACAGCTTGAATGGTAGTTGACAAAAATTGGTAGTCACAAATTACCTTCAAAAGTATCCAAGCAGGGAAACACCTTCAAAAGTATCCAAGCATGTTGGTTTGGTTTAGGTTAGGTAGGTTTCAAAATCATTTGGAAAATCGTCTAGTGTACGATGTGACTTGTATTCCTTCTGACCATTTGTACAGTTCATGTTCATCTCTTTGTGAGGCTTCAGTATTGTTTTTGCTTCCTACTTTACCTTAGATCTTAGTGTCATCTGCAAATTTAATGATGTGGTTTGTAATATTCCCATCATTGTCATTGACATAAAGATAGGATATATAGGACATACACCCTGCTAGGTGAGTACAGGTATATGAAAAAAAGGGTTGGCCTCAAGATGGAACCTTGCAGTACTCCACTCCCCACAATTTTCCAGTCAAATTGAATTCTGTTTAGGATGACCACTTTTTTGTTTTAGCCATTGTTTCATTCTAGTAATTTAATATTTATTCCATCTTGTACTGTGCTTCAGCTGTGTAGATCCCCAGGAAATGCTTGTGTTGCTCCTAAGTGTACATTTAGATATCAGGTTATATTGAAAAATAATTTTAAAATTGTTGAATAAAACCTTTCCTAACATAGGTGTTGTCAACATCTTGAATGCAAATCCGAGGCACTACACTGTTTAGAGACAGAACTATGAGGCACAGCAATACTTGAATACAGGAGAAAGCAATATTGCTACCCTGCTTGTACTATGAGGGTTGCATCTTCCTAATTCATAATGTTTCAAAACAGTGCAGTGTTCCATAAGACTGTATCCAAACACTGCAGTATAGTACCACATAACTGTTTGTATTCAACATATCCACAGTCATTAAGTTTGGCTAGGATTTATTATTAAGATGGTTTTTTAAAAACATCTGAGAATGTACTTCACATTATCATAATCTGTTGAATAAGGCTGGCACCATCACCTTTATTTATTAATAGTGATAATTCTCTTACAACAATCTGAAACAATACTGTACTTCTGGAAAAGTGTTGCTTACTTTTAGATATAGATTACTTAACAAAATAATTTAGAACAAGCATTGAGTCTTAACTTCAAATACATTATATAGTGTTCTAAACCTGTTCTGAACTTACAATATTTTTTATGTATTTCTCCATGGGATTTTAGATACAAATTATATATAAACTTCATTTAAAAAAGTTGACCTGAGCAGTGTGATGAAAGTGCCTTTTTTAACCCCTGCACTGCACACCTTTTATAAGGTGTAAAAATAATTTTTGTGGTGGACCAAAAATAAATTGTTCCAAAAACAGTATTTTTGTTTTGTTTTGACATTATTAATTAGCACCTAGGAGGCACAAAAATCCAAGTAAAAAGTCTCTACCTCTTGTAGTTTACCTGTAGTGGCCTGAAGAGGTTGCATTATTTTTGGCAAGAGTGAGGAGAGTTGCCACAGCTTTCAGTGGCAAAGTGGGAATAACCCACTTATCAATTTATTTTCAATGTATCTCACTTTATTTAGTTTTTTTGCTCTAACAAGTTGTATATATGGGTCAAAGATGGTGTTCATTATGTATAATTTTGAAAATATACATATACATGTACTGATAAGTGTGTGTGTGTGTGTGTATATATATATATATATATATATGTTACGGACCCGAGCCCGACGTCCGAGCACGGAGCAGTGACGACCACGCCATCAGTGGGTCAGCTCCCGAAACCCCCTCCAAATGGATGACGACACCTGGTGAGGACGAGGTGTACTGGCCACGAGGGCCAGTTTCCAGTCCTGTTCAGCTTACAACACAGCCGCTGCTGACCTCTGGTGAGGTGGTGCTCAGACGACAACGCCATCTATGGAGTGGATAGGTGGGCGTTTGGGTCTGAGCCTGTAAGTGAGGTGCTTTTGTGTGTCCCTGTTAGTGATGACGTGTCTGATTACAGAGTCGACCTGGGACTGCTGTAATGGAAGTAGAGTCAGTCTACCCAAGGCAGCCGTCTCGACACCAAGTGTTTTGCTGCAGCAGCTGTGAGTCACCTCCCAGATGAACACTGTGGTGTTACCCTGCCTGTGAAGCGGCAGTTGAGGATTGTCATACCCGGGACTGACTGGTGGAGACGCTTAACCACTGGGTATTGTGGAAAGGAGAGTGATCTGTGGTATCACACGAGGCTCCTGACTAGGGCGCTACCCTAGTATCGCTCGTGGAGTGGCCTAACCAGCGTTGCTGATTCGGAACCTGCCAGCCATCTGCTGGACTTGTGGTTGACGGCCTCCACGGCGGTGCCCCCAGTGGAACAGTGTTTTGGCTGACCTGTGGCCGGGGTAGACTCAGCTTCTCGAAGGATTCGTCGTGAGGCCACGAGAGCACTGAGAGCTTGGCACCGAGAGGATCCAGGGTCTTCAGAAGAAGACGACAGTGTGTTATAGTGGTTATACTCCCCCCCCCGTGTAATCGTTTATACATATTTATTGGTGACGGTGATCATTATATTATATTAAGTTTTTGACTTTATTTCCCTTCCCCTTTTAATTTACTTGCGTTACGGATCACATCCCTTGAAAGCCACTACTGGCTTGGGGCCGGATACCCTTCCTCTAACAACATCAGAGTAAGAACCCAGTTGCGACCCGAGAGGGCCGTAACAATATATATATATATATACATATATATATATATATATATATATATATATATATATATATATATATATATATATATATATATATATATATATATATATATATATATATAATCATATACCATGTATTTATTCATATTAATATCAATATATAAACCTATACTCTATAAGCCTAAATCTTGTAATTGAACAAAGCACACATCTTGCCTGAAATATATAATGTTATCACTCGCTTGCTGCTGTGGTCACCTAAAATTTGAGTGGCTCATAGTAGGGCTGCCCTGCATGTTACTAAGTCTGACATTAAGTAGGCCTTAGTAATGTAGGCCATGTTACTAAGGCCATGGAAGGAAAGTGAGGGATTCAGGATTTTTTTCAAGATGGGGGATGGTTACTGGAGGCCTGAGGAAACAAATGTGAGCCCCCCCCCTTGTATGCATGGGAGTTTTGAATCTTATGATATACTAATGTGATCCCATGTCAGCTGGCACACCAGCACGCCCGGTAATATGTTGCCTGGCGCAGTATTGGGGTAAAGGGAGGATTGTATGGGCATCAATCCTTAACTGTTTACCTCTGTTCACCCAAGCAGTGATTGGGTACCTTGTTAACTGATTAACCAGGTACATCACCAACACAAATGTTTGAAGGAGGTGAAGAGAATGAATTAAAGGATATACCCATTACATGTGACACAATCAGGAAGACCATTAACAAACTAAAAGACTCAAAAGCCCCAGGTGTGGATGGATTTTAATCCAAATTTGTAAAGGAACTGGCAAATGCACTATGCATACTACTGAAACTCCTTTTCAGAAAATCCCTGGACCAAGGGATAGTTCCCCTGGATTGGAAAAATGCAAATGTTACCCCATTTTTAAAAAAGGCAGAAAGAGCTCGGCAGAAAACTACCATTTGATCAGCTTGACATCACACATCTGCAAGCTCATGGTGAGAATCCTAAGGGAGGGAATCATTCAACATCTCACAGAGAACAATCTTGTAAAGTCAATGCAACATGAATTTGTTAAAAATAGATCCTGCTTCACTAACCTGCTCACATTTCTGGAAATGGTAACTGACTATTCAGACAAAGGACTTCTGGTAGTTGTAGCTTACATGGACTTTGCTAAAGCTTTTGACAAGGTACCACATGAGAGACTGGCAAGGAAATTACAGGCACATGGAATAAATGGGAGAATACTGGAATGGATAAAACAATGATTAAAACATAGAAAACAAAGGGTCGTGCTAAATTTGAATGAATCTGACTGTGGAAATGTGCTAGGTGGGGTACCACAGGGGTCCATTTTGAGGCCAAACCTTTTTTCATATACATCAATGACATAGATAAGAATATTACAAACCACATCATCAGATTTGCAGATGACACTAAGTGGGAAGTGAAAGTGAAAGTGACCTTACAAAGAGATCTGAATGAACTTAACAAATTGATGACTTGCAAATGCTCTTTAATGTCGATAAGTGCAAGACCTTGCATGTGGGGCATAACAATCACAACTACCAAATTGACAGGACTACCTTACAACAGATAGATGAAGAAAAGGACCTTGGAGTCAAGAGTCCATCATTCACTAAAAGTCGCACAACAAATGCGAGCGGCAGTAAAAAAAAGCAAACCAAACCTTGGGAATAATCAAGCGTACCTTTACCTTCAAGGAAAGTTGTTCAACTGTATAAGTCTCTGGTGCACTCCCACCGGATTATTGCATCCAGGCAAGGAGACTATCTCCAGAAAGATATATTTGCTCTGGAGAAGGTGCTTCACCGGGTAACAAAAATCAGACCAGAGCTTAGTCATCTCTTGTATCAAGAATGGTTAAGGGCCACAGGACTAACAACATTGCAGGCAAGACATGACAGGGCGGATCTAATAGAAACCTTCAAAATATTAAACAATTTCAATGATGTCGAGCCAGACACTTTTTTCAAAAGGTCAGATGTAACATGAACGAGGAGCAATGGGTTCAAGCTCAACAAGCCACAATATAGGACAGAAAACAGGAGATGCTATTTTACCCATAGAGTTGTAAACCCGTGGAACCGCATTCCTGCCAAAGTCGTAAACACCAAAACTCTACTAGGTTTTAAAATACAGATAGAAAAATTCAACTGGACAAATGGGGGGACCTTTGACAAGCCGCCAGCTTCCTGTCCTCATTGAGGCCATTAGTATTAGTGGCCCTCAGGTAAATTCAGGTAAATATGCATATTAATCACAATTCTGATTGTAATCTCAAAGTTTGTTCATATTTCATCTGTCATTTATTTTCATGTATATTGTGTATTTGGACTTACAAGGCTTTTGAGGCAATATAAATGTCTTTATTTCTTCCAAAATTAAATCCATTTTTCATATAGGTGTACATAAAAAAAAGACAGTTGCAACATGTCAAGTGACTTTGTGTGTATATATGCTGTTAGGAATTGTTTTTAGTGTTTTCTCATGTTACATACCAGTTTTGGGAAGACCAAAGCTGCCAAAGCATACTACAGTATCAACAAATATTAATCATTAATCCTAAATTAGCTTGGAGTTTCTTAATAACATGTATAGAACAGTAGCTACTGGGGAAAATCTTTCCTTAACAGTAAAATGATAGTTCAATTCATTTATTATGCATCCCATACCCATCTTGTGGGCGGTAGTGGAAAGGGTTACAGAGGCACATAATGGGCTCAGGGACTGAACTCCACAATTCATTTAGCTAAGCAAGTTACAATCTTGGTGAGTTAGTTACAAAATTCAATTTACATCATCACATCATCAATGGGTTCGAGATCGACCAAAAGTACAATTTCTAAATTAAGCAGCTGACATGTGGAGAGCTAGTGTCATAATTTATATGTTTGTCTTGCACACCGCCCCCCATAAAATGATACAAATGTGTTTGCTTTTTGTGCTTATGTTTGAAGAAGTAGGAAGGTTTGGGTTAAAGTGTATTTCCAATACAATTAATGTACCTTAAATTTGTTTTGAAAAATTTAATTACTGTACAGTATTTTGGATTTCACTGAATGTCATGCAAGGAATAAATTTACTATTATATACTTTTTAAATTTATTAATATTTTTCATTATGTTTAGTTAATTTATCATATACAGTAATTCATGTTATAACAAATGTTTGTACCTTGGGAAATTACATTTTTTTTTATTATATAATTACTACAGGTGCTGTACTGTATTTTGTACGTTAAAATTAGTAAGTAACCAATATATAAAAGTCACAGGTTTATGCTTCCTTTAATTCATTATAGCAAGTGAAAATTATTTTATGGTTTTCCTCTTTACCTAGTACTGTACAGTATGCATGCTGTACCAACATGTCACAACTTATCACATCTTTTCTGCCGCAGAAAATCATCAGGGAATCGGGATCGACGTGCACGTGATACTGGTGAGCTTGTGGCCACAGGTGCTTGGTCATCCACAATAGCATGAGACTGGGTCTGAGACATTAATGGCCCCTGGTAAGTGTTTCTATCATTCTTAGACAATTGATCATCTTTTTGGGTCGAATCATTGTGGTGTGATGAGTTAATTATGGTAGATGAATTTTTTATGATAGTTCCATGATTTGTGTTATTTTTAGATTCAGATAATTTATACTTAGGAATCTCATGACTAAGGTTAATGGGAAAAGTAAAATTATTTTGGTGAGCTGTTGAGGTTGTTGGAACAGTGTTAATTTGACAATCACTTTTGTACAGTGGAAGTAAACTTACAGGGTCAGGACTAAGACTGCACTGTGTTTGATAAGACTGGGTTGATGGAGGAAGCATCTGCTCCTCTAAAAAAGGTGAGCTGGGTGGTGGACATGGCCATCCAGAGCTGGTTGAAATGAGTGAAGGATGTTCTAGATTAGACTTGATAGTTGGAGGGTGATGTTTTTGTAAACTGGGTGAGGGTGGTGGAGCACGATGATGTAGTTTGGGTGGGGTGGGTGGAGTACAGTGCTGATAGAGAACTTTGGGAACAGGTGGTGGGCGATGTTTTATCCTAGTTGGTGTGTCAGTTGGTATACTGTGTTTGTTTTTACTAGGTGATTTAAATGGAGATTGGTACTGTGACTTTATTGATGTGTCAAAGGACAGATTGTCTTTTTTTATTTTGGTTGGTGAATTTGATGATAAAGAGTAATGCTGTTTTTTTTGTGGTGCAGGGGGTAGAGTATTTTTAGTTCTTATTGACAAATATGGTGGTTGGTGGCAATCTTGGGATTTTGTTGGTAAGTTGGGTGGTATACTGGTATGTTGTGCTTTTGTTAGTGAACTGGGTGGAAGACTATGATTCTGTAATCTGTTTGCTGAGTTGGGTGGTTGATTCCGATGTTCAGCTTGTGTTGGAGAAGGTGGTAGATGGCATAGCTGGACTCGCATTGGCGAATTGTTTGAAAGTTTGTGCTTTTGGGCTCTGGTTGACAAATCAGGTTGAAGATGGCACTGCTGAGTATTTGTTGGTGCAGCAGGCTGTTGTAAGCATTTTTTAACCCTGAATGTTGAAGGGGGTAATAGTTGCTGTTGCTGAGTCTTGCTTGACATTTCAGGTGTTAAATGGCTTAATTGTGCTTTGGATGATGTACATGGTGGCTGATGCTGAGGACTGAAAGTTGCGGTAGTGGTTGGGTTATGGCCAAGTGCTGGTTTATCTTGCTGCCTCTGTACAGTGGTTAACTTAACAGTGGCTTTTATGGTGGGATTACTGCTGTCGTAGTTTGAGACTGGCTCTGATCCTGTGTGTGAAATAAAAGTCAATGTTTACCAAGTATATTCATTCTGTAATAATGATTAAATATTGTGTGCAGATGCAGTTATCATAATACAGTACTGTGTAATGTATATACACAGTATATATACATGGGCCTATGTATGTACAGTATATATATTCTCAGTATACAGGCAAGACAACAACGTCTCTTTCTAGGCGATTAACAATGCACCAACAACAGGGCTCCATCAAGGAGCATATAATCTCCTCACACAACCAGACCATCACCAGAGAAATCTTAACAAGCAACACAGAAATTATTTACAGATACAACGATAACAGGATACTCGACATTAGTGAGGCCCTACTCATCAGAAAGTCAAAACCAGCAATCAACAACCAATTAACACAATTATATTCTACCCACTTCAAGACCCCGAACCAGCACAGACGCAAGAAGATAAAACACGCAATATACCCATTGTTCCGTGTTCTGTCTTTTCCCATTGATTTGTCCTGTCACCTCACCCAAAAACATTTGTATACTATCACATCATCCAAAAACGAATATAAGCACAATCTGAGTATGTAAAATTGTCTTTGAAAATGTAAGAAGTGTTCTTGCAAAATGCTCCTAGGTGTCAGACCATAAATAAAGTGTGAAAAGGAACTTTGAAGAGTTAATTTTTCAACTACCCCCGACAATGAAGAAAAACATTAGAAATATTAAGATTTGTGTTAGAATCATTAATCTTACTCTTTCGGTCATATTCAACAATATATATATACTGTATAACGATTAACGAATTTAATTCGTTCCGGCACCTAGCTCGTCATGTGGAACGCTCGTCTTTCAAAACGAATTTCCCCATTTAAAAAATGGAAATAAAAATAATCCATTCTACCACTGAAAAACATCAATATGATATTCGGGTTTTTAAATAATGGAGCACTCTACCTGACATACACTGAACAAACCTTTATGACATTTTTCTTTCTTCAAATTTGTTCAATTTTATTTTTGTATTTTTTCATTTCTTTTTAAGAAAATGGAGCAGCCTACTTGACATACACTGAACAAACCTTTATGACTTTTTTTTTTTTCAGATTTGTACTTTTTTTCATTTTTTTTTTATAGAAAAAGATTCGTTCAGTGTATGTCAGGTAGCCTGCTCCAGTTTTGTATAAAAAAAAAAAAAAAAAAAATTATCAAATTTGAAAAAAGGAGAAATGTCATAAAGGTTTGTTCAGTATTTGTCAGGTAGGATGCTCCATTATGACATTTTTCATGTTTTCAAATTTGTTCAATTTGTTTTGTAGTTGTCATATTTTTTTTATTAATAATGGAGCAGCCTATCTGACATACACTGAATGATCCTTTATGACATTTGTCTTGGTTTCAAATTTTTTCAATATTTTTTTTTCAATTATTTTTCAAAAATGGAGCAGCCTACCTGACAATCACTGAACGAACCTTTGATATTTTTTTTTCAAATTCTTATATTTTTTTTTTCAATTTTTTTTGGGGGAAATGTAGCAGCCTACCTGACATTCACTGAGCGAACATTTTTGACATTTGTTAATTTTTAAAAATTTTCAATTTTGTTTTCTAATTTTGTCTAAAAAACAAAAATCAATGGTTTGTAACATTACAGCAGTCACTCCCTTTACATCCCAGCATCATTAGCATTAGCATCTTTAAAACAAAAAAAAAGTTATTTGCATCGTCGGAGGTGTCCGAGCGAGACCCAGCGGGAACGCACCATGTGGTTTTCTCGTTAATCAAATAAACGCTTGCCAATCGAGACAAATTGTCGGCGATTGGTGTGCTCGTTATTCAAAATGCTCGTAAATTGAGGTGCTCTCTCACTCGAGGTTCCACTGTGTGTGTGTAATTACCTAAGTGTAGTTACAGGATGAGAGCTACGCTCGTGGTGTCCCGTCTTCCCAGCACTCTTTGTCATATAACGCTTTGAAACTACTGACGGTCTTGGCCTCCACCACCTTCTCACTTAACTTGTTCCAACCGTCTACCACTCTATTTGCGAAGGTGAATTTTCTTATATTTCTTCGGCATCTGTGTTTAGCTAGTTTAAATCTATGACCTCTTGTTCTTGAAGTTCCAGGTCTCAGGAAGTCTTCCCTGTCGATTTTATCAAGTCCTGTTACTATTTTGTACGTAGTGATCATATCACCTCTTTTTCTTCTGTCTTCTAGTTTTGGCATATTTAATGCTTCTAACCTCTCCTCGTAGCTCTTGCCCTTCAGTTCTGGGAGCCACTTAGTAGCATGTCTTTGCACCTTTTCCAGTTTGTTGATGTGCTTCTTAAGATATGGGCACCACACAACAGCTGCATATTCTAGCTTTGGCCTAACAAAAGTCATGAACAATTTCTTTAGTATATCGCCATCCATGTATTTAAATGCAATTCTGAAGTTAGAAAGCATAGCATAGGCTCCTTGCACAATATTCTTTATGTGGTCCTCAGGTGATAGTTTTCTATCTAGAACCACTCCTAGATCTCTTTCTTTATCAGAATTCTTTAAAGATTTCTCACATAATATATAGGTTGTATGGGGTCTATGTTCTCCTATTCCACATTCCATAACATGACATTTATTAACATTAAATTCCATTTGCCAAGTGGTGCTCCATATACTTATTTTGTCCAGGTCTTCTTGAAGGGCATGACAGTCATCTAAATTTCTTATCCTTCCTATTATCTTAGCATCATCAGCAAACATGTTCATATAATTCTGTATACCAACTGGTAGATCATTTATGTACACAATAAACATCACTGGTGCAAGAACTGAACCCTGTGGTACTCCACTTGTGACATTTCTCCATTCCGATACATTGCCTCTGATTACTGCCCTCATTTTTCTATCAGTCAGAAAATTTTTCATCCATGATAGAAGCTTACCTGTCACCCCTCCAATATTTTCCAGTTTCCAGAACAACCTCTTATGTGGAACTCTGTCGAAAGCCTTTTTTAGGTCCAGATAGATGCAGTCAACCCAGCCATCTCTTTCCTGTAATATCTCTGTGGCCCGATCGTAGAAACTGAGTAAATTCGATACACAGGATCTTCCTGATCGAAAACCATACTGTCTGTCTGATATTATATCATTTCTCTCCAGGTGTTCTACCCATTTAGTTTTGATTAGCTTTTCCAATACTTTCACTATTACACTTGTCAATGATACAGGTCTATAATTGAGGGGGTCTTCCCTGCTGCCACTTTTGTAGATTGGAACTATGTTAGCCTGTTTCCACACGTCTGCTACGATTCCTGTACACAGGGATGCCTGAAAGATCAGGTGAAGTGGAATGCTGAGCTCAGATGCACATTCTCTCAGAACCCATGGTGAAACGCCATCTGGGCCAGCTGCTTTGTTCCTCCCGAGCTCCTTTAGCATATTTTCCACTTCAACTCTAGACACCTCTATCCGCTCTATGTTGTTCTCTGGAATTCTTATTGTGTCTGGTTCTCTGAAGATTTCATTTTGTACAAACACACTTTGGAACTTTTCATTTAATGTTTCACACATTTCCTTTTCATTTTCCGTGAATCTGTTTCCCATTTTCAACCTCTGGATATTATCCTTTACCTGCAATTTGTTGTTTATGAATTTGTAGAATAGGCCCGGTTCTGTTTTACATTTATCTGCTATCCCTTTTTCAAAATTTCTTTCTGCCTCTCTCCTTACTGCTGTATAATTGTTTCTCGCATCTTTGTATCGCTGGTATGTTTGGGGGTTTGGCCTCTTCCTATACTGATTCCATTTTTGTGTCTTTTGGTCTCTTGCCCTCTCACAATTTCTGTCGAACCAATCCTGTTTTCTGGTCCTGCATCTCTGTTTTGGTATGAATGTTTGTGTGCCTTCCTCGTATAGTTTTAAAAATTTGGCATACATTTCATTTACTTCCCTGCCTAGCAACAATTCTGTCCAATTACACTCATTAAAAAAATTTCGAAGTTCCCCATAGTTGCCTCTCTTTAAATCGAGTTTATCAACTGTTTCAATGTCCCCATTTTCTTCTAGATGATATCTTAAAGCATATTTAATGTCTAACAGGACGTGATCACTCTTTCCCAAGGGAGGAAGGTACTGGATGTCAAAAATCTCTTCTTCTTTCCTGGTGAATACTAGATCCAGTACTGACGGTATATCTCCTTCCCTCATTCTTGTGGCTTGCTTTATGTGTTGATACAAGAATGTCTCCAGAATGAGGTTCACAAATCTGCATGTCCAAAAGTCCTCCGTTCTTGCTTCATAGGCCTCCCAGTCTATTGCTCTAAAGTTGAAGTCCCCCAGTATCAACAGTCGTGATTTATCTTTATCTGCTTGTACAATAATATCTCTCATGACCATTATGAGGCCCTCTCGTTTGTCATCCAGTTCTTCCTTTGTCCACGTGTTGCTTGCTGGTGGGCTGTAGGCATTTACAATTATCAGCTTATCATCCTGATTCCAGACCTGCAATGCCATTATGTCAATATCTCGAGGGTTTTCAAATATTAACTCTTTTACCTTCAGGTGTTTTTTCACCAGTACAGCCACTCCTCCTCCCTTCCTAGTTTTCCTGTCACGTCTCCAAACTGAGTAGCCTCTTGGGAATATGACTTCATTTATTATATTTCCTTCAAGTTTCGTTTCTGATAATGCAACAATATCTGGGACCCTAAGCTGGATTATATCTTGCAACTCCAAAGTTTTTGACCTCACTCCATCTATGTTGGTATATACAATTTTCAGAAACATGTTCCCTTTTCCTTTGCTCTTTACTCCCCCTTCCACTACTGATCTTGTTGCTTTGTGTGTGTGTGTGTGTGTGTGTGTGTGTGTGTGTGTGTGTGTGTGTGTGTGTGTGTGTGTGTGTGTGTGTGTGTGTGTGTGTGTGTGTGTATATATATATATATATATATATATATATATATATATATATATATAACACATATATATATATATACACACACACACACACACATACATACATACATACATACATACACACACACATACTGCCATATACAGTACTGCAGGTATGTTGACGACATTTTTACACAGGTACCTGATGCCAGATGTCTGCAGCAGCTGAAGGAGGCATTTGAGCAGAATTCTGTGTTGAGTTTCTCGTACGAGATGGAGAACAATGGGAAGCTGCCCTTTCTGGATGTAACAGTCAAAGAAAGGAGCGGAGGCTTCCATACTGCAGTCTACACCAAAGAAACAAACATAGGAATGTGCCTCAATGCCAATAGTGACTGCCCAGACAGGTACAAGAGGAGTGTTGTCAATGCTTACGTCGACCGTGCTCTAAGCCACAGCTCAGGATGGAAAGAAGTCGATGAAGAACTCTGTAGGGTAAGGCAACAACGGCTTCTCTAACGGTTTCGTTGAAGACATCATAAAAAGAAAGGTAAAACGCCATGCAACTTCTGAAGAGTCAACCAACACAACACTTGTACCCCCAATTAAACTATTTTACAGGAACTTCTTTTCGACGGCTCATAAAACGGAGGAAAGGGTCCTGAAAGATATTGTTGATAGGAACTTCATACCTAGACAAAAATCAGAAAATACAATTGATAATTTATTATAAAATAAAAAAAACGGCCAATCTACTCATGAAAAACTCGCCAGACACCAAGCAGAACGCTTTGAAGGAGACCAATGTTGTCTATGCCTTTAAATGCCTACTTGGGGACTGTAAGCCCCAAAGAACTCAGTATATAGGCAAGACAACGTCTCTTTATAGGCGACGACAATGCATAAGCAACAGGGAGCCATCAAGGAACACATGATCTCTTCTCACAACCAGACCATCACCAGAGAAATCTTAACAAACAACACAGAAATCATCGATAGGTACAGCGATAGCAGGCGGCTAGACATCAGCGAGGCACTACACATCAAAAAGTCAACACCAGCAATCAACAACCAATTAATGCACAACTATATTCTACCTACTTCAAGACCCCGAACCAATATGGAAGCAGCAAGAGAAAGTATGGGCCAATAGACCTTCTGCAGTTACTTCCATTTATATGTTCACTTATCCAATTTATACCCATTGTTTTGTGTTCTGTCTTGTATTTGTCACCTCACCCAAAACTTTTGTACCATATCACCTCATCCAATAGAGTATAAGTACGAAGAATTTGTGTGTAAATTAAGTCTTTGAAAATGTAATACGAATTACAAAACGGGTTCAGGCATCAGACAATTAAAAAAATGAATTTCGGAGAATTGTTATTTTTATTACCACCGACAGTGAAGAAAAACATCAAAAATATTGAGAAAATTCGTGTTAGAATTATTAATCTTACCTTTTCGGTCATATTCAACAACATATATACATACAGTGGACTCTTGGTTTACGAATTTAATTCATTTCCAGAGACGATTCGTACACCGAAAATTCACAAACCGAAACAAATTTTCCCATAAGAAATAATGTAAATTTAATTAATCCATTACATACACCCAAAAATATTAACTTAAAAATACATTTTATGCAGAATACTACTCATATATTTTACTATACAGGTACTTCACCTTTATCGAGGACTCTTGTTGGCGTATGGGAGGAGGAGGAGGAAAGGTGTTAGTGTTTGGAAGGGGTGTCCTCTTACATTATGACATCAGGCACTGATGACATTTCTGGGGTACGGTACTCTCTCTTCTACGTTGTGCAGGCATACTACTGGGACCTGGTTGTGGCTTACTGCATGCTTGTCTTACTAAGAATCTGTCTAAAGACACTTGTTTTTACCTATGTTTTAACATTTGTCTGTAGTGAGACATCACATTATCATTAAAAAAGGTTAATTATATCAGCCTGCTACAGCTTTATCTGGCCTGCTACAACAGCCTGCTGTTGTTGAATTATTGCCTTATCTTATTTTTGGCAAAATTTTGCAGTTCTTCCAATACAGTACTGCACACATTTTCTTAATGATGAAGGGACATCCTCTACTGCCTCTACTCACAACTATTTTCTTATATTAAACTTTACCACTGATATTCCTGGGACCCATGGCATGATGTATAATTAGAACTTTTAAGTTCAGAAACCAAGAAAGCACAAAAACAATGAAATTCTTCACAAAGAATTCTAGCATGGTTGTCAACAGGCGAAAGACATTCGTAAACTGAAGCGCGCCATACACTCGGTCAGCCCATACGTGTATAAGAAAGTCGAGCACCGAGGCAAACCTTGAGTACTGGATCAAATTTTTCTAAGAAATTGGGATCAAGAACCAAAACATTCGAAAACCGAGGCTTCACTTTACTGTGCTGTATTTTGTTAAATTTGAGAAATTAATTTGCTGCTTTTTTAGGTTAACAAATTATCTTACCTCTTGAGTTGCAAGCCTGGTGATAGTTGGGTTGTTGATGGTTGTCAAGAGAGTAGGGCTGTGCAATGTTGTTATGCAAAAGCATTTCTGTTGTGCATTCTGGGAGGAATTTCACAAATTTGTCTTGTTTTAGCTGCTGCTGAGCTGCTGCTTGTTGATGTAATTCATTTCTGATTAGCTGTACATATGACAGAGTATCATGTTCATTGGGAATGTGTGAATGTCTCTGTTGTTGTATGCCCGACTCTGATTGGGAGCTGGTTTTGACATCACAGAAAATAGCAGTATCGGTACTTTCATTTGAGGATTCGGATATTTGATCATCATCTAGGCCAGAGTTTCTTAACTGTATCTGTGGAAGTCCACTAACTTTGCATTTTGGAATGAGTGAAGTAGTCTCTTTAGTATTTGTTTTCAATTTATTATGAATGGACATTCTTCCATTTCCAACCAGCTGATTATGTAAAAAGGCAGAGTCAATCTTAGTATGATTGTTTTGTGTGTAAACTTTAGCATTGTTTGGCATTTTGCCTTTACACCTTGTGGTTCCATTCCACTTAATGGCACTGCTTTTCTGTGATATTCTGTGTTTTTTTCTAGTAGGGGAAGTGGAGCAAACTGAATTGATGTTCTGATCAAGAGCTTTAGTGTCATGGTGCCCATCCTGAAACAACCATAATTATTATTACAATACTAGAACAAGAACCTCTTAAAATTCTGAAATAAATACAAAGATTTAAATTTGCAATTGTTGCACAATTGATTACATTTTACCAATACAGTAGTTTAAAAAGTTCTAAATTTAGTCTTTACTACCCTGGGTAGAGGAATATAGCCGTCAATATGTACACTAATTGAATATATTTGTGTATCGTTATATGTGTAGACACACACAGACTTTGATATAAAGATAAACTTTGATAATAGTTTTCAGTGAAATTAAAAAAAAACATGGTATACATATTGTACTGTGATTGTGCACTATTTTTTATTTATGCATATATTGTATAGTATACAGGGTATATATATATATTTCATTCACTTGGCCCTAGGAGCCTCAAACTTCCGACCCCCAGAGCTAGAGACAGTCTCTGCCAATCATGCTATGAACAAACCACAATAAGGAAGGATTCCAGAAGCAATTGTGACTGCTGCCCAACAGGAACTTTAAGCCTTCCTTGGGCTGTCACTCAAGCATGGAGGAATTAGATGATCCATGTCCCAGTGGATCACCTAATTCCTCCAGAGTCAGAGTGACAGAGGGGATCTGACCCACACTACCATCAGAATAGAACTGACGGTGGAGCAGCTGACTGACTGCAGGCTGCAGCCTTCCCAAAAACAAGTGGGGAAGGTGGGGCAAACGAGCTAGTGCTATTTTCATGAATTTTTGATCGTTTGTTTACATAGTTTGGGGAGTTCTTTGGTGGTTCTCAAGACTGCAGTCTCGTTTGAAGTCAACAGTGGTTTCTTTTGTTTCTCTGACTTTCTGGGTGCTTACCTAATGATGGCAGACAAGAATAAATTTATTGAAGTTTTACCATAAGTGCCAACACTCCCTGCACGTCTCTGAGGGGGGCCAGGTTGTGGCTTGTGGTCCCCACAATATGTATTGTGCCTGACTCTAAATGCTGACTCTAAATGCTCTTAAGTGACAACTCCTAAATAAAGGAGACGTATTGAAAGCTCATGCACTTTAGTACTGGTCAGTTGCATGATGTGTAAGAATATACCTGATATCCTTTGGGAATTTTAGTGGAATCCGTAATGAGGGACATAAGGATGTGATGGTGTTGGTCCTCCTGACTGGAGGCTGGGGTGTTTCTTTGAGTTGCCAAAGAGGTAATCTTGGTAGAGGATGCTGCTGCAAAAGAAGGAAAAGTATGGTACAGTATTTGAGGAGTAATGCTTATAAAACAAATTTCTAGCATCCAAAGTATTCCAAGTGTGTGCAACATATTGTTTCTATAATTTATATATATATATATATATATATATATATATATATATATATATATATATATATATATATATATATATATATATATATATATATATATGTCGTACCTAGTAGCCAGAACGCACTTCTCAGCCTACTATGCAAGGCCCGATTTGCCTAATAAGCCAATTTTCATGAATTAATATATTTGTTCTAATTTTTTTCTTATGAAATGATAAAGCTACCCATTTCATTATGTATGAGTCAATTTTGGTTTATTGGAGTTAAAATTAACGTAGATATATGACCGAACCTAACCAACCCTACCTAACCTAACCTAACCTAACCTATCTTTATAGGTTAGGTTTGGATAGGTAGCCGAAAAAGTTAGGTTAGGTTAGGTTAGGTAGGTTAGGTAGTCGGAAAACAATTAATTCATGAAAACTTGGCTTATTAGGCAAATCGGGCCTTGCATAATAGGCTGAGAAGTGCGTTCTGGCTACTAGGTACGACATATATATATATATATATATATATGTCATACCTAGTAGCCAGAACGCACTTCTCAGCCTACTGTGAAAGGCCCGATTTGCCTAATAAGCCAAGTTTTCATGAATTAATGTTTTTTCGACAACCAAACCTACCTAACCTAACCTAACCTAACTTTTTCGGCTACCTAACCTAACCTAACCTATGAAGATAGGTTAGGTTAGGTTAGGTAGGGTTGGTTAGGTTCGGTCATATATTTACGTTAATTTTAACTCCAATCAAAAACAATTGACCTCATACATAATGAAATGGGTAGGTTTATCATTTCATAAGAAAAAAATTTGAGAAAATATATTAACTCATGAAAACTTGGCTTATTAGGCAAATCGGGCCTTGAATAGTAGGCTGATAAGTGCATTCTGGCTACTAGGTACGACATATATATATATATATATATATATATATATATATATATATATGTCGTACCTAGTAGCCAGAATGCACTTCTCAGCCTACTATGCAAGGCCCGATTTGCCTAATAAGCCAAGTTTTCATGAAATAATTGTTTTTCGACTACCAAACCTACCTAACCTAACCTTACCTAACTTTTTTGGCTACCTAACCTAACCTAACCTATAAAGATAGGTTAGGTTAGGTTAGGTAGGGTTGGTTAGGTTCGGTCATATATCTACATTAATTTTAACTCTAATAAAAAAAAATTGACCTCATACATAATGAAATGGGTAGTTTTATCATATCATAAGAAAAAAATTAGAGAAAATATATTAATTCAGGAAAACTTGGCTTATTAGGCAAATCGGGCCTTGCATAGTAGGCCAAGAAGTGCATTCTGGCTACTAGGTACGACATATATATATATATATATATATATGTCGTACCTAGTAGCCAGAACTCACTTATCAGCCTACTATGCAAGGCCCGATTTGCCTAATAAGCCAAGTTTTCCTGAATTAATATATTTTCTATAATTTTTTTCTTATGAAATGATAAAGCTGCCCTTTTCACTATGTATGAGGTCAATTTTTTTTTATTGGAGTTAAAATTAACGTAGATATATGACCGAACCTAACCAACCCTACCTAACCTAACCTAACTTATCTTTATAGGTAAGGTTAGGTTAGGTAGCCAAAAAAAGCTAGGTTAGGTTAGGTAGGTTAGGTAGACGAAAAAAACATTAATTCATGAAAACTTGGCTTATTAGGCAAATCGGGCCTTGCATAGTAGGCTGAGAAGTGAGTTCTGGCTACTAGGTACGACATATATATATATATATATATATATATATATATATATATATATATATATATATATATATATATATATATATATATATATATATATATATATATATATATGTCGTACCTAGTAGCCAGAACTCACTTCTGAGCCTACTATGCAAGGCCCGATTTGCCTAATAAGCCAAGTTTTCATGAATTAATTGCTTTTTGACTACCTAACCTACCTAACCTAACCTAACTTTTTTGGCTACCTAACCTAACCTAACTTATAAAGATAGGTTAGGTTAGGTAGGGTTGGTTAGGTTCGGTCATATATCTACGTTAATTTTAACTCCAATAAAAAAAAATTGACCTCTTACATAATGAAATGGGTTTCTTTATCATTTCATAAGAAAAAAAATAGAGAAAATATATTCATTCATGAAAACTTGGCTTATTAGGCAAATTGGGCCTTGCATTGTAGGCTGAAAAGTGAGTTCTGGCTACTAGGTACGACATATATATATATATATATATACATATATATAACAAATTCCTTTGGAGACTTCAGGCTGAAGTGAAGTACAGTCACTTCGCCAGTCTGTACGTGGGTGTGGGTATCTGGCTAATGATTGGCCGAAGTGGGTTTCCAGGCTTGTGCGTCTTGACATTTCCATACGCATATCCAGATTTATATTCCCCAATGATCTTTGGCATGTGGAGTCCGGATTTCTTGGCGTTCACAGTTTCGATCAGTTTGTTGACCTTTGCTTTTAATTCGGCTGTAGTGTCCTTTGTTACCCTTCGAAAATATTCTGAGGAAACTACTCCAAGCTTGTACTAAAGAGGCACCCTTCTTGAGCCCGGATGGGCACATGTATAAGCAAGTAAATGGGGTCGCCATGGGTTCTCCCCTAGGTGTCCTGTTTGCAAACTTCTACATGGGTACCATCGAGCAAAAAGTCTTAGTCGACATGAACTTGAAACCGGCCATATACTGCAGGTATGTTGACGACATTTTTATACAGGTACCTGATGTCAGACATCTGCAGGAGCTGAAGGAGGCATTTGAGCAGAGTTCCGTGCTGCGTTTCACTTACGAGATGGAAAAGGATGGGAAGCTGCCCTTTCTAGATGTAACAGTCATGGAAAAGGGCGGAGGTTTCCACACTGCAGTCTACACTAAGGAAACAAACATAGGAATGTGCCTAAATGCCAACAGCGACTGCCCAGACAGGTACAAGAGGAGTGTTGTTAACGCATATGTCGACCGTGCTCTCAGCCACAGCTCAGAATGGAAGCAAGTCGACGAAGAACTCTGTAGGGTAAGGCAGGTCCTAGTCAATAACGGCTTCTCCAATGGTTTCGTCGAAGACATCATAAGAAGGAAAGTGAAAAGCCATGCAACCTCTGAAGAGACAACTAACACAACACCTATACCCCCTATTAGACTATTTTACAGGAACTTCTTTTCCACAGCTCATAAAACGGAGGAAAGGGTCCTGAAAGATATTGTTAATAGAAACGTTATCCCTACAGACAAAAATCAGAGGATACAACTGACGATTTACTATAAAACCAGAAAAACGGCCAGCCTACTCATGAGAAACTCTCCAGACACAAAACAGAACGCTTTAAAAGAAACTAACGTCGTCTATGCCTTCAAATGCCCACTTGGGGACTGTAAGCTCCAAAAAACCCAGTATATAGGCAAGACAACAACATCTCTTTCTAGGCGTTTAACGATGCATAAGCAACAGGGCTCCATTAAGGAACATATAATCTCTTCCCACAACCAAACCATCGCCAGAGAAATCCTAGTAAACAACACAGAAATCATCGATAGATACAGCGATAGCAGGCGGCTTGACGTTTGCGAGGCACTACACATCAAGAAGTCAACACCAGCAACCAACAGCCAATTATTGCACAACTATATTCTACCCACCTCAAGACTCCGCTCCAATATAGAAGCATCAAGAAATATGGACCAATAGGCTTTCTACAAACACTTCTATTCAATATCCATTGCTTCGTGTTCTGTCTTGTGTTGATGAAATTAATACCCTATTAATACTCTTGTTCTGTCTTGTGTTGATGAAATTAATACCCTATTAATACCACATTTTGTTCTGTCTTGTGTTAATGCCACATCACCCCATCCACCTCACTCAAATGTAGATATAAAATCGGAGATACGTAAGTTCTATTCAGTTGTGTATTTGTGAACTAAAGTCTTTGAAAATGTAATAAGTTTTACTAAACGTGCCCGTGTCGCGTCAGACTAGAAATAAAAATGAATTTTGGAGAATTGATTTTTGATTTACCTCCAACAGTGAAGCGTAATGTACGAAAGATTGAGAAAATTCGTGTTAGAATTATTAATCTTACTTTTTCGGTCATATTTAATAATATATATATATATATATATATATATATATATATATATATATATATATATATATATATATATATATATATATATATATATACTACAGTTATATATGCATTATTTTTGTTATCCTAGCAGATGGATTTTACTGTATATATATTATATATATACAGGTACAGTATTTAAAAATACAATAATACAAGTTACAGAATTAACAAACAAAATTACAAAAAAAGTTGAATTTATTCCAAATGAACTTAAAACATAATTTGTTCAAATACCTACACCTTTTCCTCGACTCCTTTTAACACACTCATTACTCCATGGTACTGGGTATGTGGAAAGGAGAAAATGAGTCAAACAGCCTACAAATTATGTGAAAAGGTTTTAAAGATCTCTGAAAACGAAAGAGATATAGGGGTGGTTCTGGATAGTAAACAGTCACCATATGACCACATAAACAACGTTATGTGGGGTGCATATGCTATACTTTCTAACTTCAGAATCAGTTTTAAATAATACATGGACAGTGAAATATTAAAAAAATTATTCATGACTTTTGTGAGACTAAAATTGGAATATGCAGCAGTTGTATGGTGCCCATATCTCAAGAAGCACATCAACAAACTGGAAAAGAGGCAAAGACATGCTACTAAATGACTTCCGAAACTGAAAAACAAGAGCTACAAGGAGAGGCTAGAGGTAATAAATATGCCAAAGATGTAAGATAGAAGAAAGACATGATCTATGATCACTGCATATAAAACAGTAGCAGAAATTGACAGAGGAATTCTTAAAAAGTGCAACTTCAAGAAAAAGAGGGCATAGATTGAAGCTAAAGAAACAAAGATGCAAAAAAAATATTTAAAAATTTCTCTTATCCAAAGAAAGTGGTAGACGGTCGGAACAATTTAAGTGAGACGGGGGTGGCAGCTAGAACTGTCAGTAGTTTCAAAACATTACATCATTATATGACAGAGTACCGGGAAGATGGGACACCATGAGTGTAGCTCGTGTCCTGTCTTCCTAGTAAGCTCCCATAACTACACTCAAGTAATTACACACACACACACACACATTCATTTATTCTTTGTTGCTCTTACTTTCTCTCCCTCGCCCCTACCCTCCTAGTTCCCGTTTGAGCACAGTCTTATGTAGTGAGGGGATTCTGTGCTCCTATGACCCAGAGCACTACTACACTACACTACAGAGCAAGACTTGTTTCTGAAACCCTTTTTCTACCCAATGAATATGTGACATACTATGAGTGTTCCATCCAGTATGTATGAGTCCTGTTCAGTCATGAGGCCCTTCCCCCCTGTAATAGTTTTCATGTTTGGAATCAAGATAAGACTGTAAACCTCAACATAAGGTTAGATGAATGAATGATAATGATTTGTCAATCATTTTCCCACTCTTCCCTTGTTTACTTATGCACTCTCACATTTAACAGTTTTGTTCCTTCTTTTATACTGCCGTAGGTAGCAGAGAATAAGAATGACATTGAGCACAAGCAGAGCTGTTGTTGACACCACGACAACTAGCAGGAGGGGACTGGTGAGATGCTGGTTGCCACTTCCGTCAGCCTCTGCAGCTGTGCCTGGCAAAGACCATAACTACACATTATTGTCCAGTTTTGCCTTTATTAGAACTATATTATTAGCATTAGCATATAACACAATTATTTATAATATTAAGCTATCATGTTCTGAGAAGACTGAGCTAATGACCTATTTACTGCCCATGAGATTCAGCATATATAAATCCAGTCAATCCATCAATTAAGAAGACTAGTCTTTTGGATCTATACTGCTTGGTTGCTTCTTTATGCAAGATCTTGCTGGTTTCATGACAGGACCAATGCATAATAAGGATATACAGTATTGACATTTTCACACTGGCAACCTTGAGGTGCTTCCTCAAAGCATGAATCATTTTAGAAGTACTTCCCATATCATACTGGCACATTGGAGACACTGGAGAATAAAACACAGTACTTATTCAAGCTTGGGAAGACCTCTAGAAGGTCCATTCGTATAAACATGAAACCTATCCAAGCACTACTTTGCATTATAGGAGCCACCATGCAGTGCTCTTGCTAACTGCTATTTGGCCCACCAATCTGCTACCACATGTTGCAGCACCAACATGTAAATAAAGTTCATTGACTTGTTCCTCCTCACAGTCTTTTTGGCTGGTCCTTCATACAGTTAATGCAAGCAGAGACCAAAACACCTTACTTGTGTGATGCGTTTATCCTTAGAAACGTATCGTTCATTGTGCAGTGGGCTTGTGCTATTAATTTATGCATCTCATTTGCTACACAGTAATTTGCATGTTACTAGACCTTCTATATGACCAAAGCTATTAGTACTGGTTCAGTTATGCACCAGCAGTTGTATTCTTCATTTAGTGTACCACTACATTTGCAGCTTCTTAGGGACTGCCTCCTGGTCCCTCCTGTTGTAGCATTGGACTATTCCTAGCCTCTCTTCTTACTTTTCTAGCTTTTTTTACATTTGTGATCCAGTTCCTCACTAAAGTTTCCCATCTGTGCCACCAGTATTTTATCCTTGGGTGTCTTTCTTCCAGATGACTGTATCTTCAGGCAGGGTCTGGGTGCCAGGATGTAGGGCTTAGTGGTACTTGTGATGCTTACTTATTTCCCTACAACTGCATCTATCACCAGTCGGTGCCCCAAGTGAGTTGAGCATTTTTTGTGCTTATTGTAATCTTCAGCCTTTCAGTCTGACTCTTACCTAAAGGAGCAACTAAGTTACAGTGCAATACAGTATATGGAAAGCTCCTTTCTGAGCAGGTCACTTAGTTACTTCTGTTCTCTTCTATCCTTGCTTCCCTTAGTCTATGTGGAAAATTCAGGTTAGGTAGGATGTGAGCTAAATCAAGTTCGAGCTCTGATTACTTATCGGTGCAGCCACATGACGGCTCTCTAGGATGTCTGCTGAGAAAGCTAACCAGTAGCTAGCAAGAGTTCTTCATGGTAGTCCCTATGATGCCAAGTATTGCTTGGAAGGGCTTTGAGTTTATTTGAATGATCTTTCTGGAGGTCATGTTGGGTTGGATTGAGGATTCTCCATTGTCTTCCCCTTGCACTAGTGTAGAATGTTGACCTGGCCTGACTATGCATTAATTTTGGCCAAGTAATCAATCAGCAGGAACTTGTATAATTGGAAGCAAGCAAGTGTCATTCAAAGAAAAGAGCTTTTCATATACACTCAAGAGATTGATTTTATGTTGCAAAATTTGCATAATGTATTTTTCAATTTGTAAAATTTTGAAGCACTGCAGCTGATTTAAATGCTGTATTAGGAGTAAATCAAAATACTGTAATTTATTAATGGAAAATTATGAATAAAAGACTGTGTAAAAATATATATATATATACACTGTATATATATCAGGTAACAATCCAAGTTTAATGTACATGTGCATAAACAACAGTGAATCATGTTGATGAATAATAAGTTATGTATTTAAAGCCTTTATTCCACATAAATTTTAAAGCAACGAAGGAGTTGTAGAAAGTTATAGGCTGGAAAACATAGATGGCTTGGGAAAGTAAAGAATGGGTGATTGCCTATTTATAAAGAGCATTCAGTAATGGACTAAATGGGATGACAGATAAAGTGAGGCAGAAAACTAGGTTAGGAAATATTTGAGGTGAAGGTGTGTCAGTATAGAAGAATACATTGAAACATGAATGAATAGGATGAATGCCCGAAGGAGACTGTGCTATACTGTACCACCCTTCACTTTACTGGCCAATAATGTGTTGGGTATAGAGAAATGGACCTGGATATATTTAGGCTTATTATAAAGTATGTACATGCATAACTCAAGTTTTCAATAAAGCTGTCTTACCAAGTGTAGTTACAGGGATTTTTGGTGAGACATAGTCAGAGTTCCCATGATCATTCCTGCCTCGTACACTGGAGATGTATTTTCTTCCTGGTGAGAGTCCTGTCACACTCACTCCTGTGGAGCTGCCATCGGTATCCTCATACTGATGAATAGAGGACACTTATAACATTAAATTAATGCTGTAGATGTTTCTTAAAAATAGGAGTTATATCAAGCACCACTGTTTTATAAATGTTTGAAAAGAATCAATAGAACACTTGTGCTTGATATAGCTACATTACAGTAGAGTATTGTAGTACAAAGTATTAGTGCAGGTAATGATTTATATATTTATTATATCATATTTCCCATTAAAGCACTTCCTTGAGGGGATCGTCTTATGCAAGACAGTTCCCAAATATTTCAACTGACTTAAAATTTTAGGCTTAGAAGTAGCACTTAAAATATTTTCCCAAGGACTACAAATTATTGTTCGACTTTTACATTTATGAAATAATTGTCATTTACATTGGAACCTAAAAGTGCAGAAAGGAGTAGTGCTTATCAGCAAAAATGTAGAAGAAAATGAAGAAAGATAAAAGGTATAATATCGGAAAAAGGATAAAGAAAAATAAAAGAGAATAGGAAACTGTGTATTACTTTGTGAATGAGCAATGTTGAGTAATTAGGGAGACCACTAATTGGTGTTGCATTATGAGTCCAACTAAGTGTACGGTTCATCAGTGGGAGAAAGTCTACTAGTTTTAATCCTGCCACAGTAGTTTATGCGGGTGACCAATACTATTCACATCTAGGAAAATAAAGAGATGAATGTAGCGAAGAAACACAAAACACGGTAAAATGCCCCTAAATGCTATGGAATAGAAAATTTAATTACCCAGTAATACTGAAGCCAAAGCAAATGTTTCCTCTTTTGTTAACCAGTTATTAAAAGGAAAATGTTGTATATAGGTATATGAAGGTATATACAGTACTGTAAAGATAATGATGTGATACAAAGTAAAGCAGTGTTGAACATACCATTAAAGATAAATGCTGATAAAGGAACGATGCATGAAATGCATGAAAGTAAAAAGAGATTTTTATTAAAATTTTTGTAAAATTTAGCTTTACCTTGCAGAAAAAACTGACTAAATGTAATACAGTTGAAGACTGAAAGGGTTAAGGTAGATTTAGAAGAGTTAAACTAATTTTAATATTTAGAGAGCACAGGAAACATTGGACAGGTGGAGAAGTAATGGAACGATCAGTACAAGGAAACTAGTTACTGGGTAACTTTATGAAAAATAATTGTTTTACAGTGAATGTGAAGAAATGTTTTCATGACAATAATGTATACTACTTGCACAAGTAACCTCTTGGAGAGCATCATTGAAAACTCATATAATGCAGGACTTTATATAAACTGTTTAAGAAATGTGTGATGGTAGAAGATGAAGTAATAAAGAAAATGTTCCACTTGAATGAACAGACATTTAACAGCAACCCGTCCTTTTACTAATTACTGTACATAGTTTTTCACTCGTATGCGCACTAAGGCTAAAAATCGCCGTACTGTACTAGAAAATAAAAGCGGCTCACAAAAATGACATACTGTTCCGTTTTCTGTTTTGGGTCCTCTGGCTAAAGCTATTAGGTTAGGAGAGGAAACTTTAAATTAACAGTTTTCATGATGTTTTGAAACATTAGGAGACTTGCTGCTCTCCTAACCTACCAGAGGACCAAAAACTTGCTGCTTTGGATTCATTTAATTTGGAAAATTAATTTAGCTTTTTTGAAAATTCCAATACAGGAATTTTTAGCTGTAATGCATAAGAGCAAAAAGTGACGTAATTTGTAAGAGGTCGGGCTGATAACAGACCCCTTCCATTGCCAAAGGCCAAAGAAATTAGTCGAGTCCAAATTCTGCTATATTTTTCTGTTATGCCAAGTTTTATCAAGTATTAAATATTATTAGCCCAAACCATAGGGAAATTTTTGTCCATGTTTCGGTTACAAAATTTGGTTGAAATACATTGTTGATTTCTGTTGGGAGTCCCGTCGGCTCCCTGAAGCTATCCGAACTGATATGTGCTATATTAGTTTGGGGTCATCAGCCACAGGAGTTTTTATGCCTACCGGGAACCACGAGCCAGAACTTGGTCCCCTCAGAGACGCGCAGGGAGCAATGGCCTATGAGCACTTTACGTTTAAAAAAACTGTACTGTATGTCATAACTGCCATCGACCAGGGAAAAACCCAAAAAGGTAGGTGAATCAAAACAAAGTCTGGTTAACCTGTGCAGTCTACATCCTAAAATATTTTGATAACTTCCCTAGAAATAAACCAAACAAGCAACACTTCATACAACTAGCTCTCCCTCTTGAACAGATGTGCTGACGGTCACCTCTGGTCTCAAGTTCCTGTTCCGGGTTTTGCCCTGTGTGGTTGTACCAGCAGTGTGTGTGTGTGGGCATTGGCCAGGTGCTTTATTGTACGCTGAGCAGCATGGACCTAGGGTGATCTTCCCTAGGTGCTTTGTAAGTACTACCCTTGCATTTCAGGGTTATCTTCCTCTGGGGCATTCGGGACTCACTCCCTGTTAGAGGATTTCGTCGCTTGAGGTTGTCTTCGTCCTTGGGGTGCATCGGGGTGCTTGGGCTTTCCATCTTGTTTCGGTTGGGGGAGGGTTTTGGCTGAGTGGGGTCCACTGCGACTGGCACAGCCTGCTTTACTACAATGCGATGGCCGATGCTTCTCGCTGGCTGCCAGTTTATTTGTTATGTTTCTTCGGGGGCTTTTATTTTCTTTTCCAGTGTTTTGCCTTTTCTGGACAGAGGTGGTCTGCCTAGCTTCAAATTAGGCTAGCATAAGTGGTGTTGGCGATCCTCCTCTGTTGCCCCTGTGGATTCATTCCTGTTACTGGTGGTTAGTTTCCCTGCTGCTAGACGGGTTCTACTAACTTAGCAGGCCCTAGTGCCCTGGGCTTCCTGTAGGGCTGACTTACCCTACAGGCCTTGGAAAACCCCTGTGGGCTCGGTGGTACAGTACTATGGATACTTCTTCCAAGTCCACTCTCGCTTTGTGCAAAGTTGAGGGTTGTTTGTCGCTCCTGCTTCGGGGTGACAATCATCCATAATACCCCCGTCATGCTGCATGTTGGGTCGGGGATGCCTACTCCGCGGGACTTGTTCCTCGTTTAAACTTCAATTTACTCATTCCTTGTCTGTTGATATCTGGAATCAGGCGGTGGCCGAGTTGTATGCTCAATTCTCCTTCTTCCAACACACTAGGTTGTTGCCCGGTTGGAGGCCCCGGAGCTGCCCCACTTGTGTTTTAGGGATCATGATCTGGGAGCATTGAGCGCTTCGACCTTGATTCCATCCACGCCCCCGCTTCCTTCCCAGGTAGGTGTGGTTCAACCTGTTCCTCCGCCCCTGTTTCCAGTTCCCAAATGTCTGGGGTGGGTTTTAGCCTGGGATGAGGCTCGGGTGGCCTCGGGGGCTGCCCCTTCTGATTCGGGTGCAGAGATGGTTGAGCCCGTTCTTCCCTCCAAGGCTTCTGGGTTGACCCAGCTGATTCTTTTCTCAGAAGCTTTAACCCTGGACTTACGGAAGCCTTTTCTTCAGTGGAGGTTGGTGTGGAAGAGGGCTAGGCCCCGGGACCTGTTTTGGGGATTCCCAGGGCTCGGGGGGAGAGTCCACGTAGCGCGATTTTTCTCCTTTTGATCCTGCTTGGGACTTTTGGCCATCTGAGCATGGTTTGTTGCTACAGGGGCAGGGGTTTTTGTACCCTTTTTCCCAGTACGAATTTGAGTGAAGTGCGGCCTCTTCTTCCCCCCCTCCTTCCCTTCCGGAGGGACCTCTTCACTTCAGAGTGGCCTTGGCGTTTCCCATTGTATGTGGTTGTTTCCCGACTGCAAGGCCATCACGGTAGATAATTTTCGGCAAGACTGGTCGAGGTGGGGGTTTCTGTACCTTTTTTTTCCCCAGTCCAGCTGTTGTTCCAGGTCTTAGCTTGCTTGGAATCCTATTGGGAGAGGGTGCTTCTCCTGGTTCCATGGTGGCTGGGCCAGCCTTAGTTTTAGGTGCTGCTTCCTGGGCTTCCAAACCCGGGCATTTTTCTTTGGCTCCACCTCCTTTAGCTGATTGGGCCAGTGAGGTGTTTCACCGGGTTGCACTACTACTCTGCACTCTAATCTTTCTGACGCATGAGTATCTCCATTTATATGGAAATCAGGTGGCTTCTTTGATGGTGTTCCACCAGCGGTCTTCTTCACAGCGACAGTATATGAAGAATGGTCCAGGATTCCACTGTAATAACAGAGGAGGTCAAAGATGGAAAAATGTATGATTTTTGAGCTTCAGTACAGTACAGTACTGTTCAGTATTGTGGTCTGGACATGTGGAGAGGATTGGTTTACCAACCTCAAGGTAACCATTGTCAATGACAGTAATCCTGTTATGCTTATCAAGGTTTTCCTTGACCCATAAATGACTTTCCCAGGATGCATCCTATAACAGTCAACTAACTTATGGGTACCCATTTACTGCTAGGTGAAGAGAAGGTATCAGATATAAAGAAACATACACAAATGTCTTGCCATTTATGGAAATTGAACCAAGGACCATTCATATTACATGTGATAAAGTACCTGATTGATACCTGGTTGATGGGGGTTCTGGGAGTTCTTCTACTCCCCAAGCCCGGCCCGAGGCCAGACTTGACTTGTGAGAGTTTGGTCCACCAGGCTGTTGCTTGGAACGGCCCGCAGGCCCACATACCCACCACAGCCCGGTTGGTCCGGCACTCCTTGAAGGAAACAATCTAGTTTCCTCTTGAAGACGTCCACGGTTGTTTCCCTTGTGGATAGGAGTAGAGACTAGGCTAAAGGAGTATATTTAGGTTAAGTTACTTGTAGGCTTCAGTGTCAATACCCTCCCATATCAGGGAGTTTCCACATGGAAAGAAACAGTCAAGACATAAATGATTACCACATAGGAAAAGGATAAAGTTTCAAGGGAAAGTTTCACAAGTGAGTTATGAGAAGCTGGTGTGAAGGGAAGGCAATCAGTACCTATGGGAGCATGGAAGAATATGTGTGGGAAGTAATCTGAGAATTTGAGGGGGGAAAATATCAAACTTAAGCAAGGCTTCCCCAAAGCTTTCAAGTTTTTTTTTGTTATGGCATTCTCCTCCAGTAGGATTTCCTGGTGAGAGGCATCAAAGATATAGAAAGACAAACAAAATTAGGAAATATAAAATATGCTGAAGGTGTACTAATGATTTTGCCTCAGGTTTTGGTTAGATAATATACAAAGTATTTTGATCAAATCATAAATGATTGATATATTTGTGTTTTCTAAAATATATTTTGAGTATGCTTTATAGTTAATTCTTGGACAGTGGTTAACAGGTTAATACCGTAAAGGTTAATAACAAATAGACATTTTTATGTATTGAGAGCACCTATTATCAGGGTTATCATTAGTCTCTTAGTAAATCATTACTAAGTAAGATCATTAGTCCAAGATGATCATGAGCCTTTACTTACTAACTTTAAAGACTTTAAGTATAGGAATGAATGCTAGGGAATATTTTTACTCATGGAGCCTTGAATGCCCTCACCTGGTAGTCCAGTGTATCATCAGCTCTGTACTTCACGGTGAAATTGAGAGGCATCCCAGCATGAGGGTTAGGTGTCCACCCCAGAACAACAGACACATCACTTACATTAACAATCTGCTGTTCAAGATATACAGTCATATACTGTACAAGAAATAAATAGATGCAGCAATACATAAATGTAATAATAAATGATTATTTTTTCAGATTGTAGAGATGCCTACAGTGGCATGCAAAATAATTTAATATAAATAAAATCACTTGTATAGCAGTGCATGCATTGATAATGTATCCCAATCCTTTTCATCTTGGAGAAATTGCCTTGAAGGTAGTATATAAGTTATGGAAAGCGAGCATTTTGCCTACTAATTGTGTACATACTAAGTGTCTTGGTTATATCCTCAGTGAATCTAATTCCCTCAATATATCATAGATAAACATTGTTTTCTAATGTATAGGTATCCTGAGGGATCTCTACGACATTTGTGAGTTGCATCGTGTGAAGCACTAATATTGCAATGGCTTACTAATTTCTTTTGATAATTACTTGCTCCTTAGGAAAAATGTATTAGTTTTTTATTACTAGTTATAGGTGAAAATTATTTAAATAAGCAAATTAAGGGTCATGGTAGTACAGTCGGGTTCGTTCTCGACGCACAATCGAGAAGTCTGGGTTTGAATAATAGGCTGGGCAGAAATAGTTGGGCACATTTCCTTTCACGTAATGCCTCTGTTCACCTAACAGTGAGTAGGTACTCAGTAGTTAATCAGCTTCTTGAGGGGTTATATCCTTGGCAGGTCAGTAATTTGACCTGGGGGGGGAGGAGGGGAATTCGATACAAGCCTAACATGTATGAATACACGCTGGCTTCCTGTCCCCCAACACAATGAATTAAAAATTATGAATTATAAAACAAAAATATAAGGCATATGATGAATATGCAAGTAAATTAAACAATAAAATAAAACATATTATTGCAGTGAGTTGCATTTACTAGGAGATACTAACAGTTAGATTTGTGGGTGGATGAGGACGTGTAGGTGGCTTGAGAGTGAGCCAGGTGGAATCTGTGCCAAGATCATTAGTAGCAGAACATTGGTATTCTCCATAATCTTGACGAGTGACGTTTACTACTTCTAACACCGATGCCCATAACATCAACCCGTCCAGCAGCTGGAATGTATATAAGAAGTTTTCTTGTTAATAATACATTATATACATATATAATTCATTAATACATTACTGTATATTATCATAAATTTTCTAAACAAACTAATATTACAACTCAGCCGAGGATGTCATCTTTTATGGTATACAGTATTAATTTTCAAGTCTGATAACATGAGACCTAATTTTGTATTTACTATAGTGATTTTGACATGAACATCTTTTGAATTGGAGGAATTTATTTTGCATAGTTGATTAGTATTTTTTGGCTGGCAAGAGATGACTGTATCATTGCAATTATGTTCATATGTCTGTTTAAACTAGTTGATGCTGTACAAATATCACAATGGTCTCTAACCTGGACGAGGTTAGCATTTGCAATGTAAGGGTTGTTTCATGATGATTTAAAATGTGCTCAACAGATGCCAGTCATAAACTGAGGACACAATTTTCTTGTACTGTAATAACATGCATGAGGATTGCTTAGTCTCTTGTAGATGTATATCAACTCACCCCATGGTTACAGTCTCTTGCAGAATGTATGTCGCTTCAACTCACCTCTGGTTTATGGATTATATATTTTTCACTAGTTTCTATGTTATGAGTATCCTCTGTAGTCCAAGTGAAATTTGGTGGTGGAGCAGCTCGTGCATGACAAGCAAGGTGCCCACTTTTGCCCAGATCCACCCAAGAAGAATGTGTGGTTGCCGGGTCGTCAGTCAGTGACGGTGGTTCTGGTGGAGGGGACCAATTTAATGGTGAGTTCAACATAGTTTGTCATGCAGAAAATACAAAAATATTAAAGGTGTACAAATGTGTGTCCCCTTCAGAGGTATAGTGTTTGCAACGTTAGCTTGCAGATTGGGAGCAGTGGACTTTTGGTTTGCTCATTTTATGAATTTAAATTCATATGTTTCAGTTATATTTCATTTGTCATTGTTTTACTAATATGAATTGTGTTCAATTTTAGAAATATGTTGCAAACATGGCATTGGTACATGTTGGGCATTAACATTCAGCTGTCAGAAGTACACTGTCAGCTGTGTGTTAATAACACTGACAGCTGACACTGGTTAAAAACATTGGCACATATCTAGCACTGATATGACACTGACACATAACTGACAATAATAATAATATCATCATTATGTAAAAATCATAGGAGCACTCCAGGGATATGAACTAGCATTCTGGGTCTCAAAAGCCTTTCCTGGGTAAGACCCAGAATGCTTGTTTGAATCTCCAGAGTGCTACAATAGTAATAATAATAATGAGAAAATCCACTAGGGCTGTGAGGTGGTGCGAACCTACTACCCCAACATTGCCAGTTGCGTACTCTACTAATGGACCACCGATGACTTGTGAAAGTCGTACAATCGTATTTCTACTGAAATCACAGGAAGTCTGAAAGTTCCTACTCGGTGTAGGGGCAAAGTGGTATAGGACCATTTTGTCCTTCCACCCGAGTGTTTGTGGGTCATATGTAAAAACTTGGACTGGCTTCAGTAGGGGCCTCCAGACTTACTGTGATTTCAATAGAAATCTGGTTGTACGACTTTCACAAGTCAGCGGTGTTCCAGTGGTAGAGTACGCGGCTGGCAATGCCGGGGTTGTAGGATCGTGCCACCTCACAGCCCTGGCAGATTTTCTCATTGATATATATCACGTTAGTGTGATTTCTGTATGTTAATAATAATAATAATAATTAATAAAATAAGAATATAAAACAGAGGCACTGTATTTGAAGTTACAGGGGTACCTCGGTTTAAGAGTTTAATCCGTTCCTGGAGATGGCTCGTAACCTGAAAACTCGTAAACCGAAGCTAATTTCCACATATGAAATAATGGGAAATGAATTAATTCGTTCCTGACTACCAAAAAACCTCACTTCAAACTAAATTTTATACCTAATTCATCAAAATCTACACTACAAAAGTATGTTCAAGTTATTACTTACCTTTACTGCTGTTGGCGTGTGGAAGATGGTAAGGAGGGGGGAGGAGGAGAGGTGTTACTGTTTGGAAAGGGAGTCCCCTTCCATTATGACATCAGGCAGTGAGGACCTCTCTGAGGTGCACTCTAATATGTTTTACCTGCATACCACTAGGTCCTGGTTGTGGCTCACTGCTCGATTTTCTCACAACAAAACGATCCATTGAAGATTTTTTTCCCTTTGCAAAATTTGCCTGTAGTGAGACATCACATTGTCATTGAAAAGATTAATGCAACGGCCTACTACAGCTTTCTCTGGGTGAGTCGTTTCAATATAAGTTTGCATTTCTTCCCACGTCTGACACCACTTCTTAATGGTTGCAGAAGGGACATGCTCTTCCTCCTCCACTGGAGAAACATCCTCAGCTGCCTCTTCTTGCTGCTCCTTTTGAAGGGCTTAGAGTTCTTCGTTGTGTTCTGCCACCAACTTCTCCACATCAGCACCATCCAATTCCAAGCCCATGCTCTGGCCCAGAGTAACAATTTCCTCAACAATTGGCACTTCATTTACAGGCTCAAACCCCTCAAAGTCTAGTTCTGGTACACATTTTTTCTCCAGCCAGAGATCAGGGTTCTTTGAGTCACTTCTTGCCAGGCTTTGTCAACGAGTTTTAAAGAACTACAAATGTTAAAATGGTGTTTCCAGAACTCTTTGAGGGTGAGTTTTGTGGCTTCAGTCACTTCAAAACATTTCCGGAAAAGTGCCCTTTCATACAGTTTCTTAAAATTCGCTATGATTTTCTGGTCCATAGGCTGAATTAGAGGAGTGGTGTTAGGAGGAAGGAACTTTACTGTGAAAAAATTACTGTGTCTTCAACAATTTATCTTCCAAGCCTGGAGGATGAGCAGGAGCTCATCCTGCTCATCTTTTTTCTTTTTCTCATCTTTCTCATCTTTTTTGTCGAGGAGTAGCAGGGCCTTGAGTGGCAAACTTTTCTCCTGCAGATATTTTTGTATGGCAGGGCACACCACTTCATTCACCCACTCCGTAAGAAAAATCCTAGTCACCCATGCCTTATTATTAGCCCTCCACATCACACACATTTGGTTTTTCTGCACTTTATACTGTTTGAAAAGCCTTGGATTTTCAGAAGCAGGAGTTTAATTTTCAAATCGCCACTCGCATTTCCACACAGCACAAGCGTAAACCTATCTTTCATAGGCTTGTGTCCAGGCAATGATTTTTCCTCCTTGGTAATGTATGTCCTCTTAGGCAATCTTTTCCAGAACCGTCCTGTCTCATTACAATTAAACACTTGTTGTGATAGGTATCCCTCAGCCTCTACAAACTCTTTAAATTCTTCAATAAATCTTTCAGCTGCTGGTTTGTCTGAGCTGGCAGCCTCCCCATACCTCACACTATGAATACCACTCCATTTTTTAAATTTGTCAAACCATCCCCTGCTTGCCTTAAAGTCTATCGTATCTGCACTCATTCCAGGGGTTTTCTTTACAAGGTCTTCGTGCAATACCCTGGCTTTCTCACAAATGATGGCCTCTGAAACACTATCACCCACTAACTCCTTGTTGTGTATCCAAATTAATAACAACTTTTCCACTTTCTCAAGTATTTGTGGTCTTTGTTTCATGATTGTTGATACGCCTTTTGCCACTTTAGCACTCATAATGTCCTTTTTCTTGGCAAGTATAGTGTATATCGTTGATGTGGATTTGTTGTACTGACTACAAAGTTCAACAACATGTGTACCATTTTCATGCTTCCGAATGATTTCTTGCTTTTCCTCTATTGTCATCCTCACATGCGATTTCTTGCCTTGAACCTTACCACTGGCTTTCTTGGGACCCATTGCGAGATATATAATAACAACTTTTATGCTTAAATGGCCAATTATCCGACAAAACACTGTAAATCCTTGTGAAGAATTCAGGCGGGAGAGTCACTGGGCATGAGGCACTGGTAAACTGAACGGCAATCGCCATGCCACCATGCACTAGGTCGGCCCGTACGCTTATCAACACACTCGTTACCCGATTCAAAGCTTGTATTCCAATGCAAATTTTCCAACCAAATCCTCCTCGTAACCTGAAAAACTCGTAACCCGGGATGCTCGTAACCCGGGGTTCCACTGTACATGGTTTGCATATTAAATAGAACCACTAATATACAAAGTGTTTTTTGGCAAAACTTAACTAAATTATATTAAGTTTTTTATAGATATAATGAGGTAAACAGTGTTAAACCGTAATTGGATCTATGTGGTGCCCTTCCCTGACTACGAGGCTGTCGCGCTGGACGCCTTTATGCAGGGCTGGTCGAGGTGGGGTTACCTGTACAATACCTCTTTTCCCTGGTCCAGATGTTGCTTCGGGTTCTGACTCGGTTGGAGTCCTACCAAGAGAGATTAGTCCTTTGTGGCCAGCCTTGGTTCCAGGCACTGCTTGCTAGGTGTGCGAACCTGGGACGTTTCCCGTGGCTCCACCTCTTCCAGCAGGTCTGCCCAGTCTGGTACATGGCTGATTCCATCTTCTCCTCCGCTCTTCGCGTCTGGTCTTTATTGACGCGGGTTTATCACCACTTGTATGGTGATCAGGTGGCTTCATTGATGGTGTCCCACCTGAGAGCTTCGTCTCGGCGACAGTATGAAGTTTCCTGGCATACTTTCCACCATTTTCTCTCTTTTATAGGTTGTCTTCTATTTCTGTTTGGGTTGTCTTGTCCTTTCTGTCTTGCCTTTTTTCAGGACTGTCACTTGATGCCTAATATTGTCGCCTCATATTGTGTGGCGCTGGCGGAACCACTCCAGCTTGTGTTTGGGGTGAATGTCATTTCTGCCCCATTCCGTAAGTTTTCTTATGCTTTGTTTCACCTCTGGCCAGCTCATACGTCGCCTGAGCCATCCTGGTCCTTGGAAAGGGTGCTGTCAGTGTGGGAGCCTTTTCCAGGTTCTTTTTCTGTTGACACTGGCCTCTGTGGGTCTGGTTGGTGAGCTTTATGCTTTCCTCTGGCACTGGGGTTTCTGCTCTTTCGGTCCTGGTGGTCGGTTTGTTCCGTTGCAACCTTATCCTTCTCTTTTGGCGAAGAACGAGATGTATCCTTTCCAAAAGGGTCCTTGGGTCATTGATGCTTGGTTGGTTAGGCTGGGGCTGCATCATGTGTTGTGTCCGGTTGCGGCTCTTCACCGTTATCTGGGCGCTTTTGCTTCGGTGACTGGAAATGTGCTTTGGCTTGATCTGGTTTTCCTCATTCCCTGTTCCAGAGCTTGGGTCTTTTAGGTTGTCCACAGGGTTATTAAGTCTAGCCAGCCTGTGGTCTATCCTCGTGCCCATGACATTAGGAAGTTTGCTACGTTGGCTGCAGTGTTTTGCATCATATCCTGGGCTGATATTCAGGCGTGGGGATTTTGGAGATCGTACAATAACGGGTCCTGGCTGCCCGTTATTTGGTTAATGTTCCTGCTCCTGCGTGTTCCTGTGTTGCTTTAGGTTGTAGGTTGCAACCAGTTGTCTCGACTTCGCGTTGAGGAGTATTTGGTGGCTGCTTTCCGGGTAAGTTCCTCTTTTCCTTATTCTTTGGTTATGTAGCTCCAGGGAGCCGTAGGGGCTCCCCACAGAAAACCAGCGCTGAATGTAATGAAGGGCAATTTTCTAGGTAAACCCCAGAGCTCCCTGGCAACCCTCCCTCCCTCCCTCCGGGCGGTGTTTTTTTTTGCGTTGTTTGATGCTTGGCTTCCGAATTGGAGTGCTAGGTAGCCGGCGTGGGGAGGTCCGGGGCTCCCCTCTCTCCTTCTCATGGAGGGAAGGGCTGCGTGAACAAGCGATGCGGCAGTGGAGTGTGATGTTTGCTTGTTTCCTTGGGATTGGAGGGAATTCTGCCTATCTTTTCAGTTTTTAGTTGTAATTTTCTGACCATGTGGGGTTTGTTTTGTTATGTCTAGCTTTCTCGGTGCCTAACCCCAGTCAATGGAAGATAAGGAAAAACCCCAACCACAAGGGGGTTTTCTAGGGCCATTGCTCCCTGCACCTCTCTGAGGAGGGCCAGGTTCTGGCTCGTTATTCCCGGTAGGCTGAACTCCATAGACTAATGCCCCAGTCTAATATATTGTATATTAGCCCGATAGCTCCAGTGAGCCTCTGGAGATCACTTAGAAAATGGCATTTCATTACATTCAAGGCTGGTTTATATGGAAAATAATGAACTACACAACCCAGGACAACATGGATTTAGAGCAAGAAGATTCTGTCTGTCACAGTTACTCAACCACTATGACCAAATCACAGAATCCTTAGAAGAAAAGCAAAATGCAGATGTTGTATACACAGACTTTGCAAAGGCATTCAACAAATGTGACTATGGAGTGATAGCCCATAAAATTAAATCAATAGGAATAACAGGTAAAGTGGGGCATTGGATTTTGAACTTTGTCAAACAGAATGCAGATTGACAGTCAATCAAATAAGATCAAGCCTGAGTGCAGTGAAAAGCTCTGTATCCCAGGGCACAGTCCTTGAACTACTGCTATTTCTCATTCTTATCTCGGATATAGACACACATACTAGTCACAGGTTTGTGTCATCCTTTGCAGATGATGCAATAATCAGCATGAAAATTTTCACTATAGACACTGAAGAACTGCAGGCAGATATTAATAAAGTCTTCGATTGGGCAACTGAAAATAACATGATGTTTAACTGTGACAAGTTCCAGGTACTGAGCTATGGTGGAAACGAGGAACTTAAACAAAACACAGGGTACAAGACACAATCAGACCTGCTCATAGAAGGAAAGCAATATGTAAAAGATGTGGAAATTATGATGTCTGACATCCTGACATTTAGTGAACATAACCGAGTTAATATAGTGACGGCCAGAAAATGACAGGATGGATTATGAGAACGTTCAAATCCAGAGACCCACGATGTTACGAACCCTTTGTAACCGGGTTCTTTTTAAACTCTATGATCTGACTCAAGTTCAGAGAACCCTAATTTTGGTGGGAATATAGTGTTATGTTTAAAGGTAAAAATGAAAAGAATAACACTTAAAATAACCCGTTATTATTTCCCATCACCATTATAATATAAACAAGTCTATGCGAGGTCAACCGGAGCGGCGTTGCTTGCCCTTATGCTAGCCTGCTTCACGGATGATGGACACAATATGCCTCTGATGAGGTCTTCGATGCTCCACGCCCGTTGTACACTCGCTGGGATGCCCATCAGCAAAGTCAGCTATGCTCAACTAACCCCACTGGCTTGTACCTTCCAGAACCGAAGTCTACAACGCCCAACCACAGTGCTCACCTAGCTTCACTGGCATGAAGTCTGAACTTCACCTCCAGGAGTGAAGTCTATAGCACTCAACAGTAGCACTCACCTCACTGGCTAGCATCTCCAGGAGTGAAGTCTACAGCACTCAACAGTAGCGCTCACCTAGCCCCACTGGCTAGCACCTCCAGGAGTGAAGTCTGCAGCACTCAACAGCAGCGCTCAACTAGCCCACTTGGCTAGCACCTTCAGGTCGACCCAAGTCTTCCACTATTCCAACTTCACTCACTTCCATCTCTCGTCCGTGGTTGGTTGTCACCTTCCAGGACGACGTATTAAAAGATGGGAAACTGCGATTAGTGGGAGGGTCAACAATTATAGTTCGGCACCAGGATCGTAGACGGCGCTGAGGTTCGTCACACACAGCAATGCTAATACTATTTAAATCACTGGTGCTGTCCCATCTTGAGTATTGCTCGGTACTCACTTCCCCTTTCAGAGCAGGAGAGATCTCTGAATTAGAGGAATACAGAGAACATACACGGCACGCATAGAAACAATAAAACATTTGCATTATTGGGACTGTCTCAAAGCTTTAAAAATGGACTCTTTGGAAAGGAGACAAGATAGGTATCAAATAATACAGTATATACATGGAAAATACTTGAAGGCCAGGTTCCAAATTTTGCACAGTAGAATAACAACATACTGGAGCAAAAGACACTGAAGGAAATGTAGAATAGAACCAATGAAGAGTAGAGGTGTCATAAGCACAATCAGAGAACACAGTCTGAACATCGGAGGTCCACACCTGTTCAACACCCTCCCAGCAAGCATTTGAAATATTCCTGGAACAATGGGGGATGTATTCAAGAGGCACATAGATAAGTTCTTGCAAGAAGTGCCGGATCAACTAGGCTGTAGTGGATATATGGGCCTGTGGGCCACCCTAAGCAACAGCCTGTTGGACCAAGTTATCACAAGTCGAGCCTGGCCTCAGGTCGGGCATATCTGGAGAACCCTCTCCAGATATGCTCCAGGTTGCTAAAGGTAATGAAGAGGTCACTATGTTGCTCTTGGCATTTTTCTTGGAGCTGGCGTGCAGCAAATATCATATCAACAGATTCACATTTTGAGTGGAAGCGGCATTGGCTTTCTGGGAGGAGACCCTGCTCAAGGTGTTGAAGAACACGGTTGAGCAGGATATGAGCCACGATCTTCCTGGCGATGGACAGAAGTGAAATACCACTGTGATTATTGCAAGACTGACGGTTGCCTTTCCTCTTGTAGATGTGTACTATGCTGGCATCTTTTAACTCTTGTGGGACCTTCCCTTCATTTTACTTGGACTGGATGAGCTTTGTCAGTTTCTGCATCATGGCCGGGCCTTGTGTTTTGTACATTTCAGCAGGATTGCATCTGATCCTGGTGCTTTGCCACAGGAAAGCTGCTTGATGGACTTCCTGACTTCTTCTGTGGGAGGTTTATCAAGGTTCTGGTTGATCTCCACCTGATGTAGGCAAGCAATGGCCTCATTGTGGATGAGGCCATTGTAAATCCAAATCTCTGCAATCAGTACTTCAATGAGAGTGCCTGCATGGTGTAAAATCTAGCCATAAAACAGGCACTCCATAAAATTTACTTGACGATGCGAGGAGTTTATTAAATAGGAAGATAGGTAATATTATGTTAGTAGTTAACATACGTAAAATGCTGAGAGTAATCTTCTTGTGGATTGTAGTTCCTAGACCATTCTCCGCTTCACACATGAAGGCTTTTCCATTGTCCTCGGCCACTGCTTTTAGCAGAAATTCAGACCTGAGGGAGAAGGCTTCATTTAAATTTTGTTCTGAGAAGAGCCAGACCCTTTACACAAGCAAATGCATGTGTGTGTGCATACATGCACACATTTTCACATGCATGCACACACAGAGACCAAAACCGGATTATGGAGAGGTTGTATGGTGTGCAAATCTCAAGAAGCACATCAATAAACTAGAAAAGGTGCAAATACATGTTAGAGGTGTTAAATACCAAAGCTAGGAAGATAGAAGAAAAAGTGGCAATATGATCACTACATACAAAATAATAACAGGACTCAAGAAGACTGACAAAGAGGAATTCTTGAACCCTGCAACTTGAAGAATAGGTCATATATTCAGGCTAAGGAAACAAATGTGCCAAAAAATATTAGAAAGTCCTCTTGTGCAAACAGAGTGGTAGATGGTTGGAACAAATTATATGAGGAGGAGGTGAATGCCAAAAGCATCATATGACAAATAATATTGGGAAGAGAGGACACCATGAGCATAGCTCTAATCCTATAACTACACTTAGGTAATTACACCCTCCCCAACACACACACACACACACACACACACACACACACACACACACACACACACACACACACACACACACACACACACACACACACACACACACACCACACACAGTATGGTTTTCGATCTGGAAGATCCTGTGTATCGAATTTACTCAGTTTCTATGATCGAGCCACAGAGATATTACAGGAAAGAGATGGTTGGGTTGACTGCATCTATCTGGACCTAAAAAAGGCTTTCGACAGAGTTCCACATAAGAGGTTGTTCTGGAAACTGGAAAATATTGGAGGGGTGACAGGTAAGCTTCTATCATGGATGAAAAATTTTCTGACTGATAGAAAAATGAGGGCAGTAATCAGAGGCAATGTATCAGAATGGAGAAATGTCACAAGTGGAGTACCACAGGGTTCAGTTCTTGCACCCGTGATGTTTATTGTGTACATAAATGATCTACCAGTTGGTATACAGAATTATATGAACATGTTTGCTGATGATGCTAAGATAATAGGAAGGATAAGAAATTTAGATGATTGTCATGCCCTTCAAGAAGACCTGGACAAAATAAGTATATGGAGCACCACTTGGCAAATGGAATTTAATGTTAATAAATGTCATGTTATGGAATGTGGAATAGGAGAACATAGACCCCACACAACCTATATATTATGTGAGAAATCTTTAAAGAATTCTGATAAAGAAAGAGATCTAGGAGTGGTTCTGGATAGAAAACTATCACCTGAGGACCACATAAAGAATATTGTGCAAGGAGCCTATGCAATGCTTTCTAACTTCAGAATTGCATTTAAATACATGGATGGCGATATACTAAAGAAATTGTTCTTGACTTTTGTTAGGCCAAAGCTAGAATATGCAGCTGTTGTGTGGTGCCCATATCTTAAGAAGCACATCAACAAACTGGAAAAGGTGCAAAGACATGCTACTAAGTGGCTCCCAGAACTGAAGGGCAAGAGCTACGAGGAGAGGTTAGAAGCATTAAATATGCCAAAACTAGAAGACAGAAGAAAAAGAGGTGATATGATCACTACGTACAAAATAGTAACAGGAATTGATAAAATCGACAGGGAAGATTCCTGAGACCTGGAACTTCAAGAACAAGAGGTCATAGATTTAAACTAGCTAAACACAGATGCCGAAGAAATATAAGAAAATTCACCTTCGCAAATAGAGTGGTAGACGGTTGGAACAAGTTAAGTGAGAAGGTGGTGGAGGCCAAGACCGTCAGTAGTTTCAAAGCGTTATATGACAAAGAGTGCTGGGAAGACGGGACACCACGAGCGTAGCTCTCATCCTGTAACTACACTTAGGTAATTACACTTAGGTAATTACACACACACACACACACCCTAAGGTGTGTGTGAGACAAAAAGGTGACACCCCTAGGGTCAACACTTGCAGCAGAGGAGCTCCAGCATATTTCAACAATCCTAAGTATTGTAGTACAGGTTGATGGTAGTGAGTGGTGTCCCAGAGAACATAAAGGTATAGTGCTCTTGAAAAATAGGTGAGATAACAGGAAAGTGCTAAGGGAAGTGAAAAATCGGATGAGAAAAAGTTGCCCCAGTGTTTACAGTGCAGAGAAGAACATCCAAGATGGCCACTGGCAAGGGGAAAAACAAAACAGAGCTTGATTTTGAGGGATTCAATGAAGAAAGCATTGATATTAGCAGTCTACACAACAAGTTGGTAAATTTAGATACTATAGTGAACTCTCATGTAGAAATAATTAGTAAATTGAAAGAAAGTAATGACCATTTGAATAGCAAAGTTTTATGTCTTGAGGGTTTAGTGAAAGACTTGCGCAAGTATAAGAATCAATTGGAAACAAATTGCAAAGCCATGGAAGAAGAAAATAAACTCTTAAAAATAACTTTGGAAGAAGTTAAAGTAAATTTAAACATATATGACTACAATAGGTTAGGCAAGGAAATTCAACAGGAGAAACAGCTTTTGTCAGCACAGATGGAGGAAGTTACACAGGGAATAGAACAGTGCAAGAAAGATATGCAACTCACCTATGCACAAGTGGCCAAGGAGAAGGAAAAAATAGAAGAAGCAGTAAAGGAAGTTAAACACTGCAGCAACCAAGATAAAACAAACATTAGGCTGGAAGTGAGAAAAGAATTGGCATCTAACCCGAAGTTGGTGCAAAACACAGTTGATAGGAGTAAGTCCCTGATCATTTTTAGCTGCAAAGAAAAGGCGATAACATCTAGGTCAGAAAGAGCTGTAGAAGAAGCTAAAGTAGTAGATAAAATTGTTGGCCTCGTGGAAGGTCTTACAACCATAGAGAATGTGTGCGACTACAGGAGAATAGGCAGGTACGTAAAAGGGAAAGATCGACCTTTGAGGATCACCCTAAACGATGCCAAACAGATGGAAGAAGTACTAAGGAATGCTAGAAAATTGCAAAGTGATGAGGATGGGAAAGGGTGGTCATTAAGACGAGATCTTTTAAAAGAAGATAGAGAGAAGCTGAAACTGAACCTCGTCAAGGCAAAACATTTAAATGAGAGCAGGAATGAAGAAGAAATAAATTCTTTTTTCTACAAAGTGATAGGGGTAGGCAAACCAGTAAAGTGGTACATAAAGGCAAACCAACAAAATCAATAGAGAGAGGGGGAGTGAAGAATAAGGAGAGGGAGAACAAGTTCCTGAAGATTGCATACACCAACATAGATGGAGTGAGATCGAAGATACTAGAGTTAAGTGATGTAATACAGCTGCAGACACCAGATATTGTTGCACTCACGAAGACAAAACTTGAAGATGTAATTTTAAATGAGGTCATATTCCCAAGGGGCTACTCAATTTGGAGACGGGACAGAAAAATTAGGAAAGGCGGTGGCGTTGCTGTGTTGGTAAAAGAACACCTAAAGGTGAACGAAATAATGACTGCCAATCCACAAGAAGTTGACATAATAGCACTAGAGATCTGCCATGAGGGTGATAAACTAATGATAATAAATGCATATAGTCCACTGCCAAGCAGCACATGGTCAAAGGAGGAGCTAGATAGTAAACGTGAAGGTCTTATAACAATAATGAGAGAGATTATAGCGAGAGCGGATAACGATAGATCACGACTGTTGATAGTCGGTGACTTCAACTTGAAATCCATAGACTGGGAAGCATATGAAGCTAAAACAGAAGATTTTTGGACCTGTAAATTTGTAGACCTCATCCTGGAAACATTCTTGTATCAACATGTTAAACAAGCTACGAGGATGAGGGAAGGGGACGTTCCCTCCATGCTAGATTTGATATTTACCAGGAAGGAGGAAGAGATATTTGACATTCAGTACCTTCCTCCCTTGGGTAAAAGTGACCATGTCTTTTTGGGAATAAAGTATGCAATGCGTTATAAGCTGGAAGAAAATAAGGAGGTTGAAGCAGTTGAAAAACCAGACTTCAGGAGAGGACATTATGGTGACCTTAGAAATTTTTTTAGTGAGTATAATTGGACAGACTTGATGCTAGGCAAGGAAGTGAATGAGATGTATGTCAAGTTTTGTGAAATATATGATAAAGGCATAAAAAAATTTATACCAAAACAGAGATGCAGAACTAGGAAACAGGATTGGTTCAATAGAAATTGCGAGAGGGCTAGAGACCAAAAGACACAAAAATGGAATCAATACAGGAAGAGGCCGAACCCCCAAACATACCAGCGATACAAAGATGCGAGAAACAACTACACGGCAGTGAGGAGAGAGGCAGAAAGAAATTTTGAAAAAGGGATTGCAGACAAATGTAAAACAGAACCAGGTCTATTCTATAAATTCATAAACAACAAATTGCAGGTAAAGGATAATATTCAGAGGTTGAAAATGGGAAATAGATTCACGGAAGATGAAAAGGAAATGTCTGAAACACTAAACGAAAAGTTCCAAAGTGTGTTTGTACAAAATGAAATCTTTAGGGAACCAGATACAATAAGAATTCCAGAGAACAACATAGAGCACATAGAGGTGTCTAGAGACGAAGTGGAAAAAATGCTCAAGGAGCTAAGTAAGAACAAAGCAGTTGGTCCAGATGGAGTTTCACCATGGGTTCTGAGAGAATGTGCACCTGAGCTCAGCATTCCACTTCAACTGATTTTTCAGGCATCCCTGTGTACAGGAGCTGTAGCTGATGTGTGGAAAAAGGCTAACATAGTTCCAATCTACAAAAGTGGAAACAGGGAAGACCCCCTTAATTATAGACCTGTATCATTGACAAGTGTAATAGTCAAAATATTGGAAAAAATAATTAAAAGTAAATGGGTAGAACACTTGGAGGAAAACGCTATAATATCAGACAGACAGTATGGTTTTCGATCTGGAAGATCCTGTGTAACGAACTTGCTCAGTTTTTATAATCGAGCCACAGAGATTTTACAGGAAAGAGATGGTTGGGTTGACTGCATCTATCTGGACCTAAAAAAGGCTTTCGACAGAGTTCCCCATAAGAGGTTGTTCTGGAAACTGGAACATATTGGAGGAGTGACAGGTAAGCTACTAACATGGATGAAAAATTTCCTAACTGACAGAAAAATGAGGGCCATAATCAGAGGCAAGGTATCGGATTGGAGGAATGTCACGAGTGGAGTACCTCAGGGTTCAGTTCTTGCACCGGTAATGTTCATTGTCTACATAAACGATCTACCAGTGGGAATACACAATTACATGAACATCTTTGCTGATGATGCTAAGATAATAGGGAAGATAAGAAACTTAGATGATTGTCATGCCCTTCAAGAAGACCTGGACAAAATAAGTATATGGAGCAACACTTGGCAAATGGAATTTAATGTGAATAAATGCCATGTTATGGAATGTGGAATTGGAGAACATAGACCCCACACAACCTATAAATTATGTGAGAAATCTTTAAAGAATTCTGATAAAGAAAAGGATCTAGGGGTGGTTTTAGATAGAAAAATGTCACCTGAGGACCACATTAAGAACATTGTGCGAGGAGCCTATGCTACACTTTCTAACCTTAGAATTGCTTTTAAATACATGGATGGAGAAATACTAAAGAAATTGTTCACGACTTTTGTTAGGCCAAAGCTAGAATATGCAGCTGTTGTGAGGTGCCCATATCTTAAGAAGCACATCAACAAACTGGAAAAGGTGCAAAGACATGCTACTAAGTAGCTCCCAGAACTGAAGGACAAGAGCTACGAGGAGAGGTTAGAGGCATTAAATGTGCCAAAACTAGAAGACAGAAGAAAAAGAGGTGATATGATCACTACATACAAAATAGTAACAGGAATTGATAAAATCGATAGGGAAGATTTCCTGAGACCTGGAACTTTAAGAACAAGAGGTCATAGATTTAAACTAGCTAAACACAGATGCCGAAGAAATATAAGAACATTCACTTTCGCAAACAGAGTGGTAGACGGTTGGAACAAGTTAGGTGAGAAGGTGGTGGAGGCCAAGACCGTCAGTAGTTTCAAAGCGTTATATGACAAAGAGTGTTGGGAAGACGGGACACCACGAGCGTAGCTCTCATCCTGAAACTACACTTAGGTAATTATACTTAGGTAATTACAGATGGCCCCCCCCCAAAAAAAAAAAACACCAGGACCCCATTCTGCTACCCCACATCCACCTACACTTATCTTGTGCTACATTTTCTGTCTTCACTTGCATGACATTGTATCCTTCATCAAAACACTACTCAACTAACCTAGTTCCAATCCCTCCAAATTCAGCAGGAACTGAGTAGGTGATCCCTCCCTGCAGCATGGCATCTCCTGACCTCCAGGTGATGTTGGCTTTGGGATTGCTGGAGGAGGTGCTGCAAGAGAGGGTGACCAGCTGTCCCACCTCCACCTCTGTGCTGGGCGACGCCCACACTGACACCTCCCTCGGGGCGACTGCATTGGACAGAGAAGGCTTCAAACAGTGGCAGTGGAGAGATGAGTAATTATAACACAGTACTGTGCCACTTGAATTGCAGGAAGTCATAAGACAACATTAGGGATGTTCATGGATTGATAGAGTGGAGGGAAGTGGTGAGAGTTCTTATGTTAGATTGCTGCTCATTAAGCAGTCTTTGTGACACTATAAACACGACTGTATTGTCTTACAAAGGACGGAGAGGGTGGCTGAGGTGACCTTGGGTGACCCTCTAGTTGGACTGGTGACCTCACATTTGACCTCTGACCCATTGTCTGCTGGCATGACCTTTACTCTACCCCTTGCCCTTGTTACACCCTGATCTTCTATCAGCTCAGTCGGTATCAAGAAACCTTGCTTGTAGATCCTTTATAAAGGTGAAAAGACATTATTATGAAATGGTTGAAAGTAAGAATAAAGAAAATTGCAAAAGGCATTTTGGCCCATACGAGGCAGTTCCTATTTATAGTATATTCGTAATCAGCATTGTGGGAAAATAAAATGGAATTTTGCCACAGTTCCTTTGTTCATGTCTCTTAATCTACTACACTGTATTATCATAATTTTTTACATTATATTTTCAATGTTACAGTATTACAATATACTAATTATTGTATGTTCACAGATGTGAATATACAGTAGTGAGAAGCAAGCTGAATGGGATACCCACATGTGGGAGAGAAAGTTACATGCCTGATTGATGGGAGTGGGTGACCTCCAGTAGTAGAGCAGGCCAGATCAAGGGAGGTTCCGGCTGTGACCTTCCGTTCCAGGTCACCCTCCAGTACTGGTGAGCCTGCGGGCTCTGGGAGAATGGAGGTAGGGCAAGGATGAGAGAACATAGAGGAGGAGAGGTAATGAGGGGAAGGAGGGAGAAGAGCGGGGAAAATGATAATTTTTTGTGTTAATCTTGTTCATCATCTCATTTATAAAATGATTTGGGAAAGTGATTTTTGTTTTTTAGAATTTTACGATAGCATTAAATATTATCCAGTTCCAAGTAAATTTTTTTTTTCACTTTTTGAAATGTCAATATGAATAGTCAATCATTTTAGAAATAGATCTACTGTCTTGCATCAATTTATATTTAATGAATATACTTTATAAAGATGTTTTATGTTGCACTGTTTTCTCTTTATGAATTGTTTTAGTGAACTGCAACCTTGGGCTATTCATCCTCTCCTCCAGTATGGTGGAGTTCTATCATGACCCTTTGTTTTCTTTCTTTCAACCATTGTTTTATCCATTCTAATATTTTATCATTTATTCCATTTGAATAAATCTGAATGGAGAAATGTGGTTAGTGGGGTACCACTGAGGTCCTTTTTGGAGCCTACCCTATTTGTCATATACATTAATAACATAGATGAGAATATTACAAACTACATCAAATTTGCAGATGACACAAAGATTTATGATAAAGTGGGAAATGATGATGATATTGAAGCCTTACAAAGAGATCTACATGATCTCCGAAAATGGTCAGAAGACTGGCAAATGGTTTTTAATATCAACAAATGTAAGACCATGCATATGGGGCATAACAATCCATGCCACAACTACCAAATTAATTGCATCACATTACAGCAGATTGATGAAGAAAAGGACCTTGGAGTCAAAATCCTCCACTCGCTAAAAATTGAACTATAGGTAGGAGCAGCAGTCAGAAAAGCTAACCAAATCCTTGGAATAATCAAGCGTACCTTTGACTTTAAGGAAAAGAAGGCAGTGGTTCAACTGTATAAATCTGTGGTGCGCCCCCATTTGTATTACTGTATCTAAGCATGGAGACCTCATTTTCAAGAGGACAAAGCTGCTCAGGAGAAATTACAACACCAGGCAACAAAAGTCATTCCAGAGCTACGGCATCTCTTGTATCAGGAATGGTTGAGGGCCACAGGGCTAACACTGCAAACCAGGCATGACAGGGCAGATCTCATTGAAACGTTTAAAATACTGAACAAGTTAGAGTATATTGATCCAGACAATTTCTTCAAAAAGTCACATGTAACACAAACAAGGAGCAATGGTTTTAAGCTCAACAAGCCTTAGTGTAGAACAGGAGATGCTTTTTCACCAACAGGGTTATAAACCCACGGAACACTACCCGCAGAAGCTATAAATGCCAAAACTGTGTTAAGTTTTAAAATCTACTTGGAAAAGATCATAGAGGCAAATGGGGGGACCTTTGACAAGCCGCCGGCTTCCTGTCCTCGTTGAGACCACTAGGGTTAGTGGCCCTCAGGTAAATCAGGTAATTTCCAGCAGGACATGGTCACTCTTTCCCAAAGGAGGAAGGTACTGAATGTCAAATATCTCTTCTTTCCTGGTAATTATCAAATCCACCAATGATGGAGCATCACCTTATCTCACTCATGTGGGATGTTTTACATGTTGATACATGAAAGATTCCTGGATGAAGTTCATGAATAGACAAGTCGAAAAATCCAGTTCTTGATTCATAGTCTTCCCAGTCTATTGGTTTTAAATTAAAGTCACCAAGTATCAACAATCGTGGTTTATCTTTATCTGCTTTTACAATAATTTTTCTTATGATCATTATAAGACCCTCTGTTTTGTCATTGTGCTCCTCCTCAATCCAAGTACTGTATAACTTGCTGGTGGACTGTGTTAAATGAGGTGGTATTCCCCTTGGGAATACCACCTCCTTTAAATTTTTATCCTCCAGTTTTGTCTCTGCTAGTGCGACAATATCTGGCATCTTAAGCTTTATTATGTCATTTAACTCCAGTATTTTTTACCTTACCCCTTTTTATGTTGATATACACAATTCTCAGGAACATGTTCCCTTCTCCTTTGCCCTTCATCCTTCTCTAACAAGTTTGTTGATTTACTTTGAAAATTACACCACTGCAACTTACTTATAACAGTAATGAGGAGCGTCTTATAAATGGGTCGGGTGAGGATTTGGTGATGAGCTCTGCAAACGACCTGCAATTGATGTTTACTCTCCTTCAGCTGGCTCTCTTCCACTCGCTGGAGTAGCCTTGACCAGCTCACCCACCCACCTGACCTCACTCGGCTCACCACCACTGTTGGCGAGGGCACCTCTTCACCTGGAGGAGAATGTGTAAATGATATACTCTGTTGTAAATGACCTCATTACCTCCTCTGTCTTCTAATGCCATTCATATTTGTATATTTTGTGTTTAATATAGTTAATTCTTCATTTATTATATTTACATACCTATGTACTGTACCTTGGACAAGCCAGGAGAGGGAGGCTGGAGGGTTGGCCTTGGAGGTGTCACACCTAAGTGAGACAGAGGTGCCTACCTCAGCCCTTGATGGCCCTCGCACACTGACCTCTGATGGAGGGTCTGCAGGGACAATGCAAAGTGCAATATAAACTACATTGCTGAAATTTGATACATATTGTTGATACTTCTATTACTACTGCTATTGTTACTACTTTTACTCTCTTTACTTCGTTTCCTGGCATTATTAGTTGTTTTAAGTTGAGTATAGGGTGGTGACGGAATTAGCCACATGCACATTGTCAATCCATTTCCCAGTGTGGGAAAAAATGGGAGGCTATCCTGAAAACAAAGCACAACCAAATGGAAGAAGCTAAACCACCCACAGCATGGCTAGCACTGGCCACTCACACCAAACATAGGGTAGCTACTTGGCAGAGCAAGGGGCAGGTATCCTCCATATCTAGAGGGACCATAAGAGCCCTCCAGGGCCTGCCAATTATTGGCACTTTTCAGCCAAGCCAGCTTTAGAGCCTCGCTTAACGCTCTATGAGTATGCCGGGAAAATGTAAGACATCTATCACATGCTTTTGACTCTATGGCGATACTATATATGTATATGAAATGTGTTTCAACCACCTGAACAGCTGAATAAAGGTACATTATGAAAAAACATAACCCAACAAGCAACAAATGCAACATATTTTTTTGGTAACCCCTCAACCCCACCCTGGGAGGAGCAAGTCAGGTGTCCGCACAGTATCGAGGCTTAACTGGCAAGCATGACACAATGAGCAATAAAGCAGGAGGGCAGTATAGATAATCCTATCTGTAAATGTGACATTTTTAAGGGATTACTGCCACATAAGTAATGCCCCTCCCCAATCAGGTATGTAATGACTGGTATATAGAGTCTAGTTTGTTGTTTGATTGGTATATAAAATCTAGCTTTTGTTATTAATTTAAATATTTTATCTTAGTTTGCTTTATTTTTTATAATTTGTATGTTTCGTTTGTTAGTGTTTCAAAGAATGTTGAATTTTGCATTAGAGAATGTTCATGCTTCTGTTTGTGTAAAGTTTTCCTGTGCATTTTTGTGAGGATAGAGTTTCTGCACCACCACAAGGATAGAGAGGGGCTGGACTTCACCGACGAAGGGTTGTGGTGTGCGCTTATGAGGTGCCCACCTCATTCTTTGAGGCTATGAAACCTGGGTTTTTAAATACGACTGGAATACTGTAGTGAATCTTGCGAGAGAAATTAGTACCTTGTCGTATTATGTCCCATTCCCTATGTCTTAATAAATGTAATGCACGCACTCTGTTCATTTGTTTAAGTCCTGCATATTCAAAATACAGTATACTGTTGGCCCCAAGTGTTTGCTCTCATGTTTGAGGTGTTTAAAATACAGTACACACTTGTTCTATATTTCTGATATAAAGTAACGTACATATAATTTAAGTAAAGAAGTAAAGAGGTTCCATGGGTTTATAACCCTGTGGGTGAAAAAGTATCGTCTGTTTTTAGTCCTGCATTGTGGCTTGTTGAGCTTGAAATCGTTGCTCCTTGTTTGTGTTACATCTGACCTTTTGAAGAAATTGTATAGATCAACATACTCCAAATTGTTCAGAACTGTATTTTAAAGGTTTTGGTGAGATCCACCTTGTCATGCCTGGTTTGCATTGCTTGCTTAAGTTTTTCAATCATTCCTGTCATAAGTGTTGACTTAGCCATTATTTTTGTCGCTCAGTGTTGTACTTTCTCCAAAGCAGCTATGTCGTTCTGAAGATGAGGGCTTCATGCTTGGATACAATAATCCAAGTGTTAGCACCAACAATCTCTGTTAGCACCAGAGATTTATACAGTTGAATCACCCCCCCTCCCTTTTCCTTACAGTCAAAGATATGCTGGATTATACCTAGGGTTTGGCTAGATTTTTTTTTTACTGCTGCTCATATCTGTTATGCACCTTTCAATGAATGGTAGATTTTGACAACAAGGTCTTTTTCTTCATCAGTCTGCTGTAATGTAATGTTATTAATTTGATAGTTGTGGCATGAGTTATGTCATACATGCAAAATCTTGCATTTTTCGATATTAAACATTTGCTAGTTTTCTGACATTTGTGGAGTTTTCATGTGGTACCTTATGTAGTACCAGTCTTTCATGTGGTACCTTATCAAAAGCTTTAGCAAAATCAACGTATTCTACATCCACCAGAAGTCCTTTGTCTGAATAGCTGGTAACGGTTTCCAAAAATGTGAGCAGGTTAGTAAGGCAGGATCTGTTTTTAACAAACTCATGTTGCATTGATTTTTACAAGATTGTTCACTTTGAGATGGTGAATGATTTCTTAAGATTCTCCCCATGAGCTTGCAAATGTGTGATGTCAAGCTGATCAGACAGTAGTTTTCAGCTGAGCTCTTTCTGCCTTTTTTGAAAATAGGGGTGACATTTGCATATTTCCAATCTGTGTACTATTCCTTGGTCCAGAGATCTGAAAAGTAGTTTCAGCGGTAGGCATAGTTCCTCTATGACTTTTGGATTCAATTCCATCAACACCTGGGGCTTTTGAGTCTTTTTAGTTTGTCAGTGCTCTTCCCGATTACTGTATGTCATACGGTATGGGTTCTTAATTCATAATTCTCTTAATAATCCCTTATTCATTCTCTTCACCTTCAAACATTTGTGTGGGCAATGAGATGTCATGTAATCTTTCTAGCGTGAACCCTGATGTTAAGTATTCATTTAGTGTGTTTGCTGCCTTTTTAACTTGGTTAGTATTGTCTTTTAAGGGTCCTACTGAGTCCTTTGTTTTGGTTTTACTTCTTATACAGACATAAAATGACTTATGATTTTTCTTTGTTTTGGGCGAGTTTTCTTTCGTAGTTTATTTTGGCTGATTTGCTTTCCTGGGTGGCTGAGTTTAATGCTTTTTTATATAGAGTACCTCATATTCTGAGGTTCATCATGAATTTATACCTTCTCCAGAGAGTCCACTTAATTATCAAAGCTCTTTTTAACCACCTGTGTCATACATCTAGCTCCCTTTTTTCTTTCTCCTTTTTGGCATATATTTGGAACAAACTCCTTTAGTTTGCCTCTTAGTAGCCTGTCATTTTTTGCTGTTCCATTGTTATGGTCTGGAGAGATGTTAACTAGGTTATACCCTTCAAGATCTTTTAGTTTGTGTGCACTATTGAATATCCTCCTCCTCCATTCAAAAGTTTAAATGGTTATGCATATCATATTTGCTTCAGGCCTACCTAACTTCCCAACATTGGATATACCTAGATCCTCCTCTTTGCCTATCTGCTTCTCTGTCATTCCTTTTGCATGCATTTTGTGTACAATAACACCATAGTCACATTTGTCAAAAGCTTTTGCAAAGTCTGTTTATAGTATATCTGCATTTTGTCTGTCTTCCATGGCATCTAAGGCCATGTCATAGTGATCTAGCAATTGTGAGAGGCAGTAGCACCCTGTTTTGAACCCCATGTTGTTCGGGGTTATGCAGATGTTGTGATTTCGTGTGACTTGTAATCTTATTTCTTAGCACTCTTTCAAAGATTTTTATGATGTGAGAAGTTAGAGCTGTTGGTCTATAATTTTTTGCATCTACTTTACTACCGCCTTTGTGAAGTGGCGCAATCATCGCTGTTTTAAGTACTGTACTGTATATCGGGAATGACACCAGTATCTAGGCTCTGTCTCCAAAAGATGTTTAGGGCCTGTGTTAGTGGTGTTTTACACTGCTTGATGAATATAGAATTCCATGAGTCTGGGCCTGGTGCAAAGTGCATGGGCATGCTGTTTATGGCTACTTCCAAGTCCAGTGGGGTTAGGGTGAGATCTGATATGCGGTTTGATGTTGGTATCACATTCATGAATAATTCATTTGGATAATTGATTTTCAATGTGTTCAGGGTTTCACTGAAAAGAGAATCGTACTGAAGCCTCAGCATTTCACTCATTTCTTTGTTGTCATCTGTGAAAGTTCCATCACCCTTGGAACCTTGAAAGTTCCATTACACCAATATAGGCTTGGCTTTCTGCCCCTCTGCTCTCCTATCTCTTTTGTAATTATTGCTGTGTGTCTGATTTGGTTCTCTCATTTGCTTAGTGCAAAGGACAGACCAAAACACTGTAACATTCATTTCATTAGTGTGGGTCAGGTTGTTTTCATCCACGTTACTGTGACCTATTCTCTGTTAATGTAGGCTACCTTATTTGCCTTTTCAAAATGATTTATGTGCAGGGTAAAAACCAGATATATTTTACACTGCAAAAAAAAAAAATTGTATAGGAGGTGGATGTTGCTCATGTTAACTTTGTATAAATCTTTTTTTTTCTTTTTGTCAAGTGATTAGGGTAGAGTTGATTATGCAGCATATATATAATTTAAACTACGTTAGGGTGGAAATGGTGAGATTTGAGTACATTAGGCTTAATGTAGTTCCTATAGCTCATGAGTAAAAGTGTGCAGAGGAGTGGGAGGACTCACAATGAACAGTGAGGGTGACATTGACTACCAGAGGCTGCTCCAGGAATTTGCTCTGGGCATGACATTCGTAACGGGAGCCATCTTGCAGTGATGTCACCAGCAGGTCATGGGTGTTCACTGTCCCAACAGCATCACTGGAGAACGTGTCGTCAAGGAGGTGGCCACTATGGTACCAGAGGAGGGAAGGCCGTGGGTTGCCCCCTGACACACTGCATGTGAGAGTACGAAGTTCCCCAACATGCAGAGCCTCACCAGGAAGGTACCCACTGATGACAGGTGTGCTGGGACGATCTGTCATGAAGCAGACTTATTATTAGTATGTTATTATTACTTTAAACCAGATGATAATATAATAACTTTGTTATCTACTCTCTGATCAGGAACATATGATCATGGCATGTGTGCAGAGTAATGCAATGATGAGTACTGTATAGCCTACATCTCTGATTGAAATCCAAAATTACATGTTTAGATATCTTTATTTTGCCTGTAGTAAAAGTAATGCTCATCTTGGAGATGATACAGTGCCGAATAAGATCCAGTTAGTCGGAAAATGAATCTGCCGAAGACGAGTCGTTAAAGCAAGTTATATGAAGGACTAAAACATTGTATAATGCTGAGCCCCTCTAGGATCCCATCCTTGGTTCAAAAGACATGTGGAAAAGTGTCAGATATTTTATCCAGAAAAATCTGCGAAATGTTTGCTATACAAAAATTCTAAATGTGTGTAGTGGGGTGTGCTACACATGAAGTTCGTGTCCAAACCTGGTAAAAATGAAGCGACTTCATGAGAATAACTGATGTGTATTTAGAGGAGAATCTAATCGTGAATTGCTGGACAAGTTCTATTTTGACCCATGTTCCTTGTAAATTAACACATTCAGACAAACATCCTCTTTAATAAATACATACAAAGTTTGCCACATCTTCTTGAGGTTATCTTGAGATGATTTCGGGGCTTATCGTCCCTGCAGCCCCGTTTTTGACCAGGCCTCAGTTTTGTTACACTCCCCCAGGAATCAGCCCATAGCAGCTGTCTAACTCCTAGGTCCAGGTACCTATTTACTGCTAGGTGAACATGTGCATCAGGGCGAAAGAAACTGTCCATTTGTTTCCGTCTCCACCGGGGATCGAACCCGGAATCTCAGGACTACGAATCCTGAGGGCTGTCCACTCAGCTGTCAGGCCCTAGGGAAGGTTCACATGAACTTAGAAAATAATAACAACAGAATTTGTAAAAATGCTCTAACCAACTCTACAGTCCTTGATGTTCATGCTGACCCGTGCAATATGAAGTATGTAAGTATGTGCTGTAAAAACAGTAAGTGTTGCTATTATTTGGATTTAAGGTAAAGTTTATATAGATCCTTTTCAACTCATTCCCACTCCTATTGACATGGAATCTACACCTCATAAAACACTAAACTTGAAAAATGAAGAAGGTTGCAACAACATTGTCTGTATTAAGATGACTAAGCTATGAGGGCAAGGTTAAGATAAATTCAGTCTTGCATATCTAGAGGAAAGAAGTACTAGAGGGGGACATGATCACTAAATGCAAAATACCTGGGGAATAGTTAAGGTGGACAAGGACAACCTACAGTATTTAAATTGAGATAAAATAGGACAAAAAGACAGATGAAAGTTGGAAATGCAAATGCCCCTGTACAAATGGTCAAAAAGAAGCATGTACTGTACGAAGACATCATGAAAACCACCTCCATCCATAATTTGAAGGCATGATACCACAAAGAACTTGGACATAAGCAAAGTTAACAAATTTAATAAAATGCATCGGGTACAAAGCTAGTAAGCAGGTCATAAAGAGCTAGCTTGGCTCACTCTTGTAGTTACTCTTAGGTAAGTATTCACCAATCAGCCCCTCTCTCTCTCCTCCCTCTACTTACGTAGAACGATGAGGGTGCGGGAGGCTGTGAGGGCTGCTGGGGGCATCAAGGCTGGGTGCTCTCCATGACATGTGATCATCTTGCCATTATCCTCAGCTCTGGCCCTCAGTGTCAGTTGGCTATGTAAGCTCCATCTCTGTGGTGACGATGTTGACACCACCTGTGACTCCACCTGACCTGTGTGGGGGATTAATGGGGCTTCTGCTGACTTACAGGTGAGACCCTAAGATATACCTTAAGATTGTGGGCTTTTGCAAAATGTGACTGGTCATTAAGTGGAAGGCTAAAGTAATTGACATGCAGGTGAAGGATAGCATCATTGACAGTTTACTCGTGAGAGGTGCGACTTACCTGGGTCTACCTGGTGATGCCCCAGGTACCAGCGAATAGTGGGAGGAGGGCGAGCATCTGCTACTAGGCACTGAAGAGTGAAGGACTTGCCTGCCACCACCTGCACTACTGAACCTTGACTCCCACCTTCCATTCTGATCCTTGCAGGTGGTACTGATAAAACACACAATGTGTTGAAAAAGATTTGAAATCTGCACTAAAACTTTAAATGGAATTCCAAATACAGTATGTATAAGTTTAAATAAGCATTAAAGGTATAGTTTTGCCATTGAGGCATCTACAGAGACCTGTAAGTAAACTTGCTGCTAAAGAATGTCGTCTTTACATTTTAAGGTTGGTCCTAGATGATAGTATCTGTACTGTATAAGCTTTACCAACTCTGGTTCTGACAAAGACTAATTTGACCATCAATATCTTTCTCATCTAGTTAGAGATGTAGAAAGGTGGCAATGTGAGGGGTAGAGATATAGATAGTTGGCTGTATGCTTGGAGATATGTAGAGTTGTGGCATTAAGAAGGGGGCAGGAGACCTTGAAAGATGGTTGGTACTATGAGGGGAAGATTGGGGGGTGACAGTACGAGGATATAACTTACAGAGGACTGTGAGGTTGGCAGTGGCCCAGATGGGTGGGTTGGTGAGGGTGGGTCCCACCTGGCACTGGTACTCGCCGTCATCCGTGATAGTAGCCCTGGTGATGAGCAGGTGGTGCTCCCCCGCTTCTGGGTCACCCAGGTACATGTAGCGAGGATACCCCGGAACATCACGCTTGAACCCTGCCGATAAGGTGCATATGGGGGTCACTTAGTACCTACTAATGTCACTTGTGGACATTTGTATGTTGGTGGGTGTATGATCTGTTCTGTGTATGCACACATTTGCAAATATATGAAAAAGATTTGTTGTGTGTAATTAAGTCTCATTATTAGTACAGTATTTGCATGAGGTAGATGGAAGTGTGTGTATATAGAGTGCACATCTGTGTAGTCTACTGTATGTATCTGTAGAGTATGAATCTGTGTATTCTAGGCTTGTGTAATTCCATCTATCATCATACTATCATGCAAGAGGAGCCACACATCTATGGATCATCCAATAAAATCAGCAGACTTCTAGATGTTACTGCTGCTCGGCTTAGACTCGGTTACAAGTATCTCTGGGAATTCTCATTATCTGCTGATGTAGACCTGACCAAATGTAAACTGTGTCAACAAAATTATTCGCACACCCTCCGTCACTATGTGATGGAGTGCGAAAAAGATACGTGAATTTAGAGACAATTCTATAACCAATGTTCCAGCGATGTGTCAATATTTCATTCAAAATTATCTGCTACCAGAAATTTTAGCCAAATATCCCCAGTTTGCTAACTGTAGGTAGTAACTAAGTGATTGTAACCTATCCACCGCTGCCCACTGGATGGGGGCGGTGTGCAGGACAAACATATAAATTTTGACACTAGCTCTCCACATATGTCAGTTGCTTAATTTAGAACCTGTACTTTAGGTCGATCTCGAACCCATTGTTGATGTGACGACTTATATTGAATTTTGTAACTAGCTCATCAAGATTGCAACTTGCTTAGCTAAATGAATTGTGGGGTTCAGTCCCTGAGCCCATTATGTGCCTCTGTAACCCTTTCCACTACCGCCCACAAGATGGGTATGGGGTGCATAATAAATAAACTAAACTAACTAGGCTTGTGCAGGCACAGGTGTGCACTTATGAATATGCACCTTTACTGTATTGGCCTCAATAGGGACAGGAAGCCAGGAGCTTGTCAAAGGTGCAGGGGGTACCTTTGACATGGCATGCTTTGTTCTTGAGGATTTTGAACTGAAATAATATCTTGGCATTTACAGCTTCAGCGGGTAGACAGTTGCAGGGGTTTATGACCTTACTAGGCAGGGTACCCGGTGGTGGCTGGGTGGACTTGCTGCCCAAGTCTCTCCCATGCATCCTTCTCATCTTGCCCCACAGGCACCCTTCCTGTCTCTTCACACACCTCTCCTGTCTCTCCGTCACACGCCTTCCCTGTCTCTCCCTCACATGCCTTCCCTGTCTCTCCCTCACACGCCTTCCCTGTCTCTCCCTCACACGCCTTCCCTGTCTCTCCCTCACACGCCTTCCCTGTCTCTCCCTCACATGCCTTCCCTGTCTCTCCCTCACACGCCTTCCCTGTCTCTCGTTCACACACCTTCCCTGTCTCTCCCTCACACGCCTTCCCTGTCTCTCCCTCACACACCTTCCCTGTCTCTCCCTCACACACCTTCCTTGTCTCTCCCTCACACACCTTCCTTGTCTCTCCCTCACACACCTTCCTTGTCTCTCCCTCACACACCTTCCCTGTCTCTCCCTCACACACCTTCCGTGTCTCTCCCTCACACACCTTCCCTGTTTCCCTCTCCATACTCCACACTTCAGTGTTGTTAGCCCTGAGGGCCACAGGGGTAACAACATTGCAGACCAGTCAAGGCTGGGCGGATCTCATTGAAACTTTTAAAAATACCGAATAAGTTAGAGGATGTTGATCCGGACAACTTCTTGAATAGATCAGAGGTAACACAAACAAGGAGTAAGTGCATTGTTGTAAAACTGAAAGCAGGAGATCATTTTTTTTCACCCCCCAAGGTTATAAACCCATGGAACCGCCTACCTGCCGAAGCTGTAAATGCCAATTTTTTTATTTTTTTTAAATACAACTGGGAGAAATCAGGGCAAATGGGGGGAGTTTTGACAAGCCGCCGGTTTCCTGTTCTTGTTAAGGCCACTTGGGTACTAGTGGCCCTCAGGTAAATTCCCTCTACATCATCTCCACTCACCCTCCCCCACATCCCCCCCCCCCATACACATTTCCTGTCTTCCACACTGCTTGTTATAGTCTTAAGGGGCCCGGGTTTGATCCCTGGTCGAGGCAGAAACAAAACATCATACCATTCCTTTCATTAGTGTGGGTCGGGTTTTCATCCAGGTTATTGTGACCTGTTAATGTAGGCTATCTTATTTGTTTTTTCAACAATTATTTATGGGTATGGGAAAAAACGATTTATTTTATGTTGCAACGCCCCAAAATTATATAGGAGGTGGATGTTGTTCTTGTTAACATATATGAATTAGTTTTTCTTGTTTCTTTTTGCCAAGTGATTAGGCTAGAGTTGATTATGCAGTAGAAATTAAACTAGGTTATAGTGGAACTGGTGAGAGGAGGATACATTAGGCTTGATGTAGTTCCTATAGCTTATGAGTAAAGGTGTAGAGAAGAGTGGGAAGACTCGATGAACAGAGAGTGCAGAGTTTCTTTCACTTAATACATCACCCAGCAGTAATGTAATGACATATAAAGTCTAGCATTTTTTTTGTTTACTAAGCTCTATGTTTTTATATATATATCAGTTTTATTTTTGGTTAATTATTCGGTGTTCGCAAGTATGCTAAATTGTGTAATAGAGAATGTTAATGCCTGTGTGTGTGTAAAGTTTTCCCGCGCGTGTTGGTGAGGGCGGCGTCCGGGCGCCGCCGCCGGGACACAGAGGAACCTGACGTGACTGACGGAGGGTGCGTGTAGGGTGGGTCGTGGGGCCTCACTCTTGTGGGGTGGCTGACCTCGGGGCGCCTGGCGTGACGAGTACGCTAGTCAAGCTGGTGAGTGAGAAAGGATTATCATGTTGTCTTGTGTCCCATTCCCCTGTGTCTTTCAATGTAATGCGCGCACTTTGTTGGTTTGTTAAAGTCACGCAAATTCATAATAATTGTGCTAGTCACTTGCGCGTTTCTTCTCGTTTTTAAGCGTTTAAAGTGTATCTCTAGAATTAGCATGTGTTCTATGTTTTCATTTTTAATTGACGTACATTTACTGTAAATAAGGAAGTGGGGAGGCTCTGCTGATTTATATTATTGCTTGTAGTTATTAGTATAAATGCAATTCCCCTCCTCACAGGTAAATAGGCATCTGGGAGTTAGACAGCTGCAAGAGACTGCTTCCTGGGGGTGTGCGCGCGCTAGAAATATATATATAGTAGACTTCAGAGGAAAATTTTCCAGGAGTCATAATATTAGACAACCGGCGGTTAGAAAGGCGGGGTCCAAACACTAACAGTTTAGTCCTACAGGCACAAATAGTAAACACTGTAACCAAAAGGTTGCCCTCAGAACGTAAATGTCAGCCGAATATTCATTTTAAATGTCAATATCTGAATAATGCAAACATTTAAAAATTTAATTGTCTGCGGACTTTGGAATTCACATTTCACGTCCTCCGACTTGATGAAAGCAGTTGCTTAGAGGCCTAACCCCTTTCGAAGGTGGCATTAGGCTAGAATCAACCCCGCATCCTATGACACACACTATAAAATATCTTTAATCCTGCAAAGTTTAATGAGGCTAGCCCCAAACATCTGGCGTCCATCCTTGGACAGGAAAAATCTTATTTTAAAAAAGCATCTGTTTTCTGTCGTACATTCTGGCTTGCCAAGTTCAAAGTTGATACACTTTGTTTGCGCTACATTTGACCTTTTCAAGACGTGATCCTCATTAATGTCCTCAAACTTGTTCAGTATTTTAAAGGTATCGACGAGATTAGTCGTGTCATGCCTGATTTTCAGTGTTTGTCCTCTTGCCCATAACCGTCTGGTATGAGAGTTAACTCTGTACTGGGATGATTTTTATCACTCCGTGTTCAACTTTTCCTCAATACAGATAATGTCCTTTTGGAGGTGAGGTTTCTTGCTTGGATATAGTAGTCCAGATGGGGGGGGGGGGTGGGCACACCAGTCTTGTACAGTTGAATAACTACTTTCCTTTCCATGAAGTCAAAAGTTCTTTGACTATTCCTAAGTTTTTTATTGCAGCACCTACTATTGCAACTTTCACTTGTAATTGTGTATCTTAAACTTGTTCGGGCATTACTGTGGGTCTGTGTGTATACTAGACTTGCACATGCCGTATTGTGCAATCATGTACATGTACTAGATTTGTCCAGTCCTGTGCACCCATGTATGCATATACTAGATTTGCGCAGGCAGTACCGTGCAATCATGTATACACTAGTAATAATACTGTGCACTCATACATGTGTTTACTAGAATTGTGCAGGCAGTTCTGTGAACTGTTATACGACTTGCCAATGCAGTACTGTTCACTCATGTATATACTAAACTTGTGCAGACAGTACTGTACTAGGTTTGTACAGGTAGTAAGTACTCTACAGTCATGTACGTGTATATTATAATACAGTTCGTACTGTGCAGTTATGTACTTGTGCCTACCCAAGAGAGAGGACTTGTTTGACCTGCAGCTCATCTCCCCGAGGAAACGGAAGCAAGGGTCCGTAGAATTGAACAAGACTGCGCAATTTTCATCCTCGCAACTAGAAATTGTTTACAGACTGACAACGAGGGTTTGGAAGAGATTTCCCTAAGGGTCAACATCAAATTTACACAGTTCCAATAATTACTGCTGATGAAGTTTGCATATTTAATTAAGAATGGCGTCATGTGTCCGTAAAGCCTAGTTACATAATCGTTACGAAAGGCAGAGTTAGCTAGGCTACTGGTATGGCAGAGTAAGAGCAGTGGATAAGGTATTATACTTTACTCATGGGGCCAAACGTTTACAAATTCCTTAAAGACTTTGATTGTTAGAATCCTTACAGTGAAACTGTGACATATAATGGAAAACTGGCTATTTGGTTCGTTGCTCTAAGAAAAATGCATCTAGCACATAATGTTTGATACAGACATGGTCACTGCTTGATCGCAAGCGGGGATTTTTCTGGCGGGGGAGAAAGAAACAATTGCGCAGCGCGTCCCGCGGCGTTGCGCGGGCAGTTTGGGGCCGTATAAATACGGGCGCACACTGGGGCTCTGCCTCACTCCGCCTGATATAATAATAAACTTTAACGCCCCATACTGCAAGTATCTTTCTCCCCCTGGTCAGAAAACTAATGAGAATGTCTCTCACTGCCTTTATTTTCCCTCGTTGATACCTCGATCGCTTTGTTATTTGTTTATTTAAATTACATCTCGTATTTATATTAATCTTTAATATCAATACTCTTCAATTAGTTTATTTTTTGTCAGCGTTCTGCTCTTAGTTTTCTCTTGTCTTTAACTTATTTGATTTCGAATGAGAGTTTTGATTTTTGGTGCCGGAGGCGGTCAGCTTATTGTGCACCCCATACTCATCCTGTGAGCGGTATTGTGCACCCCATACTCATCCTGTGAGCGGTATTGTGCACCCCATACTCATCCTGTGAGCGGTATTGTGCACCCCATACTCATCCTGTGAGCGGTATTGTGCACCCCATACTCATCCTGTGAGCGGTATTGTGCACCCCATACTCATCCTGTGAGCGGTATTGTGCACCCCATACTCATCCTGTGAGCGGTATTGTGCACCCCATACTCATCCTGTGAGCGGTATTGTGCACCCCATACTCATCCTGTGAGCGGTATTGTGCACCCCATACTCATCCTGTGAGCGGTATTGTGCACCCCATACTCATCCTGTGAGCGGTATTGTGCACCCCATACTCATCCTGTGAGCGGTATTGTGCACCCCATACTCATCCTGTGAGCGGTATTGTGCACCCCATACTCATCCTGTGAGCGGTATTGTGCACCCCATACTCATCCTGTGAGCGGTATTGTGCTCCCCACACTCATCCTGTGAGCGGTATTGTGCACCCCATACTCATCCTGTGAGCGGTATTGTGCACCCCATACTCATCCTGTGAGCGGTATTGTGCACCCCATACTCATCCTGTGAGCGGTATTGTGCTCCCCACACTCATCCTGTGAGCGGTATTGTGCACCCCACACTCATCCTGTGAGCGGTATTGTGCACCCCATACTCATCCTGTGAGCGGTATTGTGCACCCCATACTCATCCTGTGAGCGGTATTGTGCTCCCCACACTCATCCTGTGAGCGGTATTGTGCACCCCATACTCATCCTGTGAGCGGTATTGTGCACCCCATACTCATCCTGTGAGCGGTATTGTGCACCCCATACTCATCCTGTGAGCGGTATTGTGCACCCCATACTCATCCTGTGAGCGGTATTGTGCTCCCCACACTCATCCTGTGAGCGGTATTGTGCACCCCATACTCATCCTGTGAGCGGTATTGTGCACCCCATACTCATCCTGTGAGCGGTATTGTGCACCCCATACTCATCCTGTGAGCGGTATTGTGCTCCCCACACTCATCCTGTGAGCGGTATTGTGCACCCCATACTCATCCTGTGAGCGGTATTGTGCACCCCATACTCATCCTGTGAGCGGTATTGTGCACCCCATACTCGTCCTGTGAGCGGTATTGTGCTCCCCACACTCATCCTGTGAGCGGTATTGTGCACCCCATACTCATCCTGTGAGCGGTATTGTGCACCCCATACTCATCCTGTGAGCGGTATTGTGCTCCCCACACTCATCCTGTGAGCGGTATTGTGCACCCCATACTCATCCTGTGAGCGGTATTGTGCACCCCATACTCATCCTGTGAGCGGTATTGTGCACCCCATACTCATCCTGTGAGCGGTATTGTGCACCCCATACTCGTCCTGTGAGCGGTATTGTGCACCCCATACTCATCCTGTGAGCGGTATTGTGCACCCCATACTCATCCTGTGAGCGGTATTGTGCACCCCATACTCATCCTGTGAGCGGTATTGTGCACCCCATACTCATCCTGTGAGCGGTATTGTGCACCCCATACTCATCCTGTGAGCGGTATTGTGCACCCCATACTCATCCTGTGAGCGGTATTGTGCACCCCATACTCATCCTGTGAGCGGTATTGTGCACCCCATACTCATCCTGTGAGCGGTATTGTGCACCCCATACTCATCCTGTGAGCGGTATTGTGCACCCCATACTCATCCTGTGAGCGGTATTGTGCACCCCATACTCATCCTGTGAGCGGTATTGTGCACCCCATACTCATCCTGTGAGCGGTATGGTGCACCCCATACTCATCCTGTGAGCGGTATTGTGCACCCCATACTCGTCCTGTGAGCGGTATTGTGCACCCCATACTCATCCTGTGAGCGGTATTGTGCACCCCATACTCATCCTGTGAGCGGTATTGTGCGCCCCATACTCATCCTGTGAGCGGTACCTTACCTTGAGGTAGCTCACAAACAGATGACGAGGACACACCTTATAATAACAGCTAATAAACTACGCTGGAAAATCTCTCTCTCTCTCTCTCTCTCTCTCTCTCTCTCTCTCTCTCTCTCTCTCTCTCTCTCTCTCTCTCTCTCTCTCTCTCTCTCTCTCTCTCTCTCTCTCTCTATATATATATATATATATATATATATATATATATATATATATACAATATATACACCGGAGATAAATCTTTTGTTAATGCCTAAAATTATTGTCAACATTGGATATTACAGGACAGTGGAGTTGGTATTGGTGATTTTTAGTTTGCAGTATACAGCACACATGTCAGTTGTCTACTGGAAGTGAAATATGAATCCAGTGCAAGAATTGATATCATTGGTAATAAGATGATTTGCTATCTTATGCAGCGTGAGCCTAGATTTATCTCTAAATGGCTAAAAAGTTTATAATGTAAATTGTATATTTATAGTGTGCTGTATAGTGTGTGTCCGTATTTTACTACGAACACTTTATACTTTAATTCATCTAGATTCTCATGCAGGCCGAAATGCCAGATACTTACACTCAAGTTGTATTCGAGGTGTGATAAAGTCTCTCGATACTTATGTTGTTACCTGCCCCATACAGGTGTTTGTAATTTATGTTGTTACCTGCCCCATACAGGTGTTTGTAATTTATGTTGTTACCTGCCCCATACAGGTGTTTGTAATTTATGTTGTTACCTGCCCCATACAGGTGTTTGTAATTTATGTTGTTACCTGCCCCATACAGGTGTTTGTAATTTCATACCGGGGCGGTCTATTGCGAGGGGTCTCTATTGTGCTTCCTGACGTACATATATATTTTGCTGTGCCTCGCGCATATGAGTTTCTATGGCAGGAAAAGAGCTGTTACTCTAACTGCATTAACTTGACAGTTAAACCCTGGGGGGGGGGAGCCTTTGTACCTGGAACACTATCCCACAGTTCACTCAATTCTGGCCCATAATGGCTGTTGGGTGTAACGGATGAAATGGAGTGAATGGAATTAACTCATATTGTCTTCTCGACCCGCCACTAAACTGATGTACTAAATTGTCCGAACGTAACCCAACCGAGGACCCATGACAGAAAACGGGATATCACGTTAATTTTGCGAGCCACTATGATTTTTGGCCTTTGGGGGATTTATATACCAAAATACGATGTGCTCGAGAGGACGGATTGGTTAACTTTCAGAGCGGGCCGGAGAGTTATCAACCCCAGACTCGTTGGTAAGCAATCCTTTCTCAGGCCATGCTCGTCCAGGCTGCGCCAGTCCACAAACACCCATTGATAAATTTTAACATAAGGTGTAAACTAAACGGGATTTTCTCAGATATAAATGAATGCTGCTATTCATATATTTGTGTTTAGTTAACGTTGGGTAGGTTAGGTATTTTGTTGGAAATTAATTATACACAACATTGTCAGTAGGTGGACGGGACGACGCGAGTGCGCTTCCAATAGGACGTGAGGGAAGCACTAATGGAGAAAAGTTCGTACAATCAGCTGTTGGTTAATGCGTCAAGAGTTCGTAAAAGGCGTGAAGGACGCAATGGTTGACTTTGGATAATGTTTTCAATGTTTACTTTTCGGGGAAGTGACTTGCCCGAAACGCTCCTGGCGGTATGGGTTCGAGTCACTTCTGGGGTGTGAGTTTTCAGTTTGATATATATATATATATATATATATATATATATATATATATATATATATATATATATATATATATATATATATATATATATATATATATATATATAACAAAATAATGACTTGTATGTGGCAAGCAGGGCTGCATTAGTTGGTCACGGACAATCATTATACAAGCGGGTAATGATGGTCATTAATCAAGAAGGTAATGGTAGTACTGACAACAGTTAAAAGACCAAAAAATAAAAAAGCTAGCAGACCAGAAACGAAAAGAACACACAACACAAGGGAGAACTACAAGAACACGCTTAAGCTGACCATGACATTATACCGATTAAGCTGACCATGAATACCACCAATTAAGCTGACCATGAACACTACCAATTAAGCTGACCATGAATACCACCAATTAAGCTGACCATGAACACTACCAATTAAGCTGACCATGAACACTACCAATTAAGCTGACCATGAACACTACCAATTAAGCTGACCATGAACACTACCAATTAAGCTGACCATGAACACTACCAATTAAGCTGACCATGAACACTACCAATTAAGCTGACCATGAACACTACCAATTAAGCTGACCATGAATACTACCAATTAAGCTGACCATGAACACTACCAATTAAGCTGACCATGAACACTACCAATTAAGCTGAGTATGAACACTACCAATTAAGCTGACCATGAACACTACCAATTAAGCTGACCATGAACACTACCAATTAAGCTGACCATGAATACCACCAATTAAGCTGAGTATGAACACTACCAATTAAGCTGACCATGAATACCACCAATTAAGCTGAGTATGAACACTACCAATTAAGCTGAGTATGTCGGTGAGGAGGAGGAAACAAGAGGCAAGAGGAGCACTGACTCACCCAGAGCGAAGCCATCTTTGGTCCACTGTGCTTGGCCTTGCTGGTGTTCCACACGGCACCTGAGGACCACGTCCGCCCCCTCTGGCACCTCTGCGCTCGTCGGCGTCTCCAAGAACCGCTGGAACAACCTCCCGCTACCTGCTGGCAAGGGAAGGAGCACACACGCCTGGCTTGTACTCCTGTAAAGTACGCTCAGACCGTCTTTAATTACTTAATAATGATAGGGTGAGAACTGTGTTCTCACCTTGTTGTGCTTGCGGGGGTTGAACTCTGGCTCTTTGGTCCCGCCTCTCAACTGTCAATTAACTGGTATCAGTGACGTGATGCAACACAAGGGAAGAGTTCATTATGGAATATAATGCCATTGTAATACCACTCAAGACTCAAAACTTGGAGTTTTACACTCCATATACCTGGAGTGTAATTAGACTTGTACCGTTGTGACTTCTGCCTCAAAACTGAGGCGAATGACAAATTGTAGCTAGGGTCACTCTAGGTATAAATTGCTGACCATATTGAGAATTTGGGGTCAGTTATTGTACCCATTTTATATATGACTCTGTATCCACCCTCCATGTTACGGGATATTCATGCCCGTGCTACGTCTTGGATGGCTTAATCATCAATTAATCAATCACCCTCCGTCATCACAACCGGTATGGGATCCATAACAAACACGTTAAGCTAACCAAAATACCAGCTGTTAAGAGTTTATTAAGAATCCTGTTCTTTAACAGTACTCACATGCATCTCTAAATATTTGTATAACATGAACCCAACCCCCACACAGGAAAAGAAACGAAAGCAACGATATTTCTGACCCTCCTGGACCCGTATGGAGTCGTAGCCTGGACGGACACGGGGCATTGTAAGGCCAGAGTTGGCTTGTTTGTCTTCACCCATGTTATCATAACTCTTCATGTGTCTATATTTTCTGAAAACATAAATGCGACTTAAACTAAGTAAATTACCCGAAACGCTATGCGTGTTACTGGGTTTGCAAGACTTTAAAACATATGAGTCTAATGTAATCTCACCACATGTACCTTCTTGCGAATAAAATATTATTATTAAAGAAATTATTTACTTTTGGTATCTTATGTTTTAACTAGAGACTGCCGTAGCGGGTGTCCGAGCGGCCAAGTCTCCACCTGACACTTGCAACTGTTGCAATAGATGCACCTGTGTGTGTGTGTGTGTGTATTCACCTAGTTGTGTTTGCGGGGGTTGAGCTTTGCTCTTTCGGCCCGCCTCTCAACTGTCAATCAACTTTTTACTAACTACTTTTTTTTCTCTCTCTCCCCCCCCCCCCATCCCCAGGAAGCAGCCCGTGACAGCTGACTAACTCCCAGGTACCTATTTACTGCTAGGTAACAGGAGTATTCAGGGTGAAAGAAACTTTGCCCATTTGTTTCTGCCTGGTGCGGGAATCGAACCCGCGCCACAGAATTACGAGTCCTGCGCGCTATCCACCAGGCTACCAGGGCCCCTGGTAGCCTGTGTGTGTGTGTGTGTGTGTGTGTGAAATAGTTGCCAAGACAAGAACCGTCTGGCCTTAGGATAGTGATTTACTGCGACAAGTCACCAGGGCATCCCTTACCTGTGGACAGTTCAAGGTTCGTCACCTGGCTTTTTTCTCTCTTAACTTACGGGCACACTGAGGCGTGTTGTGTGTTAGATGGGGGGGAGGGGTGTTACCACTGGTAATGTAAGATAGCTTGCAACGTGGTGGCGTCCACCGGGTGTGGTACACCTGCTGGGGGCCCCGGTGGAAGAGGATGGTTGGTGTCACTTTCATAAGCCGATTTCATTTAAAATTAGGCCAGTTTTGGCCATAGCGCATACGAGCGAAAAGAGACGTCATTTTTAAGAGGACGGGTTGGGTGGGTGTCGTGTTCTCACCACTCTGAGCCTCCCGGCAAACCGGTCCACGCTTCCTGTGACTCCCGGCTTAAACCTCTCGGCTGGAAGACCCCCCAACTTGTTTTAGTATTAAATCCCACTTGAATTTCGGGTCAAGCAAGCAACCAACAATTACCACAACAGGTGTGCTCACCAGGACGGCACCAGGGTGTTCACCAGGACGGCGCCAGGGTGTTCACCAGGACGGCACCAGGGTGTTCACCAGGACGGCGCCAGGGTGTTCACCAGGACGGCGCCAGGGTGTTAACCAGGACGGCGCCAGGGTGTTCACCAGGACGGCACCAGGGTGTTCACCAGGACGGCACCAGGGTGTTCACCAGGACGGCGCCAGGGTGGGCGCCAGGGTGTTCACCAGGACGGCGCCAGGGTGTTCACCAGGACGGCGCCAGGGTGTTCACCAGGACGGCACCAGGGTGCTCACCAGGACGGCACCAGGGTGTTCACCAGGACGGCGCCAGGGTGTTCACCAGGACGGCGCCAGGGTGTTCACCAGGACGGCACCAGGGTGTTCACCAGGACGGCACCAGGGTGTTCACCAGGACGGCGCCAGGGTGTTCACCAGGACGGCACCAGGACGGCACCAGGGTGTTCACCAGGACGGCGCCAGGGTGTTCACCATGACGGCGCCAGGGTGTTCACCAGGACGGCGCCAGGGTGTTCACCAGGACGGCACCAGGGTGTTCACCAGGACGGCACCAGGGTGTTCACCAGGACGGCACCCAGGGTGTTCACCAGGACGGCGCCAGGGTGTTCACCAGGACGGCGCCAGGGTGTTCACCAGGACGGCGCCAGGGTGTTCACCAGGACGGCTCCAGGGTGTTCACCAGGACGGCTCCAGGGTGTTCACCAGGACGGCGCCAGGGTGTTCACCAGGACGGCGCCAGGGTGTTCACCAGGACGGCGCCAGGGTGTTCACCAGGACGGCGCCAGGGTGTTCACCAGGACGGCGCCAGGGTGTTCACCAGGACGGCGCCAGGGTGTTCACCAGGACGGCACCAGGGTGTTCACCAGGACGGCGCCAGGGTGTTCACCAGGACGGCGCCAGGGTGTTCACCAGGACGGCGCCAGGGTGTTCACCAGGACGGCGCCAGGGTGTTCACCAGGACGGCGCCAGGGTGTTCACCAGGACGGCGCCAGGGTGTTCACCAGGACGGCGCCAGGGTGTTCACCAGGACGGCGCCAGGGTGTTCACCAGGACGGCGCCAGGGTGTTCACCAGGACGGCACCAGGGTGTTCACCAGGACGGCGCCAGGGTGTTCACCAGGACGGCGCCAGGGTGTTCACCAGGACGGCGCCAGGGTGTTCACCAGGACGGCGCCAGGGTGTTCACCAGGACGGCACCAGGGTGTTCACCAGGACGGCGCCAGGGTGTTCACCAGGACGGCACAGGGTGTTCACCAGGACGGCGTCAGGGTGTTCACCAGGACGGCGCCAGGGTGTTCACCAGGACGGCACCAGGGTGTTCACCAGGACGGCGCCAGGGTGTTCACCAGGACGGCGCCAGGGTGTTCACCAGGACGGCGCCAGGGTGTTCACCAGGACGGCACCAGGGTGATCACCATGACGGCGCCAGGGTGTTCACCAGGACGGCACCAGGGTGATCACCATGACGGCGCCAGGGTGATCACCATGACGGCGCCAGGGTGATCACCATGACGGCGCCAGGGTGTTCACCAGGACGGCACCAGGGTGATCACCATGACGGCGCCAGGGTGATCACCATGACGGCGCCAGGGTGATCACCATGACGGCGCCAGGGTGATCACCATGACGGCGCCAGGGTGATCACCATGACGGCGCCAGGGTGATCACCATGACGGCGCCAGGGTGTTCACCAGGACGGCGCCAGGGTGATCACCATGACGGCGCCAGGGTGATCACCAGGACGGCGCCAGGGTGTTCACCAGGACGGCACCAGGGTGTTCACCAGGACGGCACCAGTGTGTTCACCAGGACGGCACCAGTGTGTTCACCAGGACGGCGCCAGGGTGTTCACCAGGACGGCACCAGGGTGTTCACCAGGACGGCGCCAGGGTGTTCACCAGGACGGCACCAGTGTGTTCACCAGGACGGCGCCAGGGTGTTCACCAGGACGGCGCCAGGGTGTTCACCAGGACGGCACCAGTGTGTTCACCAGGACGGCGCCAGGGTGTTCACCAGGACGGCGCCAGGGTGTTCACCATACTAGGCAGGTCCCGTGTACCATGACTGTTGGACCATACTAGGCAGGTCCCGTGTACCATGACTGTTGGACCATACTAGGCAGGTCCCGTGTACCAAGACTGTTGGACCATACTGGGCAGGTCCCGTGTACCATGACTGTTGGAACATACTAGGCAGGTCCCGTGTACCATGACTGTTGGACCATACTAGGCAGGTCCCGTGTACCATGACTGTTGGACCATACTAGGCGGGTCCCGTGTACCATGACTGTTGGACCATACTAGGCGTGTCCCGTGTACCATGACTGTTGGACCATACTAGGCGGGTCCCGTGTACCATGACTGTTGGACCATACTAGGCGGGTCCCGTGTACCATGACTGTTGGACCATACTAGGCGGGTCCCGTGTACCATGACTGTTGGACCATACTAGGCAGGGCCCGTGTACCATGACTGTTGGACCATACTAGGCGGGTCCCGTATACCATGACTGTTGGACCATACTAGGCAGGTCCCGTGTACCATGACTGTTGGACCATACTAGGCAGGGCCCGTGTACCATGACTGTTGGACCATACTAGGCAGGTCCCGTATACCAAGAGTGAGTATTACCTGTATACGGGAGGCAGCAGACAAGAAAGGCCACCAGTCTTAGGTTCATCTTGCCTCGCTCGCCTGCTGGTGGTGACTGGAGGGCCAGGTGACGGCTCAGCTGATGGTGACTGGAGGGCCAGGTGACGGCTCAGCTGATGGTGACTGGAGAGCCAGGTGACGGCTCAGCTGATGGTGACTGGAGGGCCAGGTGACGGCTCAGCTGATGGTGACTGGAGGGTCAGGTGACGGCTCAGCTGATGGTGACTGGAGGGCCAGGTGACGGCTCAGCTGATGGTGACTGGAGGGCCAGGTACCGATGATGGTGACACACACACAGTTCCCTGAGCGTCCCAGATGGCCAAGATATTCAACATCTTCATACTCTACTCTTTAGTACGGGTTTTGCTTCTGTTGGGCGCTATTTGAATTATAGAGGAGCGAGGCTGTGTGGGCTGACGCCAGAGCTGTGTAGTGGGCTCTGGGCCCCCGGCCAGCCTCCGACCATTCAAACACCTGCACCAAAAATGTCACTGCTCGTAGCAGCTATTTGAATTATATTTGTATATCTAGATATGGAACCTGAGATAAAATTCTAGTACGTTCATCGAGACAATAATATACATGTAAGGGATAGCGTAGCTTAGACTATTTCTACCCTCCAGCAACCTAAGATATGGCGACGGTAAACTGTGTGTCAGGACACGTGGTCAAGCGGGTTGAGTACTGTATGTCGGACACGCCTCCCCGACCTTCACTGGATAGCAGGAACGTTATCTTATTTATTTGAGGGCCACTAACCCTAGTGGCCTCGAGGAGGACAGAAAGCCGGCGGCTTGTCGAAGGTCCCCCCCATTTGCCTTGATGTGAAATGTTTGTGGTTGTATAGTTATAATGTGATGTACCGATCATGAAGAGATAGCATACACATCAGAAGACAAACAGCTGTGTATATATGTCCACGCTTGAGATGTTGAGTGGCAACGGGAGGGAGCTGATACTTATATTAGCGTCTTGCAGTCACGAGAAGACTTCCTGTTCTTGAGGAACAACACTTTATACAACACAGGGACTGTACTCGCCTAGTTGTGTTTGCGGGGGTTGAGCTCTGGCTCTTTGGTCCCTCTGATGCTCTCCACACTGAGCCTCTCTATACTGTCTGTGGGTTATACTGAGCATTAAGTCATATTACTCTGCTTCAACTCACTGTACTCTATGTTGTCTGTTATCTCCCGCGTGTTGCAGCATCATTGGCTTTGTTATCTCTTCAGTTATGCATGATGCTCTCTGCCTCTCCCCTCGGTGGCCATGCACGCTACACACGCCGAACTTACGTGCGCTCAACACTTACACTTGAGGCGTGTTCAAACATTTGAGATATAAATTATTTATAGTTCAAGTTTCATAAATATGATTGAACTTTTTATTTAATGGCGAAGTTTTACGTAATGCCATAGGCACCTGCTCTAGGTGACTCGTGTTACTGAGCTCGGAGGGCCAGGAGAGCATTTATTTTATCAAATGTTTCCAGATTTAGTTTAAGGGTAACTTTTGTGTACGCGCCTGTGTTACTTGCGATCACCTTGACTCTTAACTGTGCTATTAATCATGCCACTAGCGGTCACTTTGGGAGTAACCTCTGAACTAGCTGTTACATCATTAACGATCACCTCGAGCGTAGTCACTCCTTGAGGGCGGTCTTAGAAAGAAGCCGTGTAGCCCAAGAGCGCGCGGTAGGTGTTGACGCCGCCACAGCCACACTGGGACTGACTGGCTGGCCGCGGTGGTGGGTGGCCGTGGCGCCGCTGCGGCTGCCGCCGGGTCACGTGTCACAACCGCCCTCAACCACTCTATGTGTACCTCAGTCTTCTGGAGGAGTGGTGCAGAAGCTAAACCACACGAGCAAGGCGTTTAACTCAATATACAACTTGAAATTTGTATTTAACAAACAAAAGATGGGGTTTCGAACTGTTGCTCGACCCTACAGTCATATCTTGCAGAGTACACACACACACACACACACACATACATACACACACACACACATACACACACACACACACACACACACACACACACACACACACACACACACACTCACTCACTTTTGTGGTAGACGGTTGGAACAAGTTCAGTGAGAAGGTGGTGGAGGCCAAAACCGTCAGTAGTTTCGAAACGTTATACGACAAAGAGTACTGAGAAGACGGGACTCCACGAGCTCATTCTGTAGCGATATAGTCGTAATGTCTTGGCGCTTTCCCCCTGATAAATTTCTGTACCTGTAACTCCACTTAGGTAATTACACACACACGCATTATCTCCCCCCCCCCCCGCTGTTCTGGGACACGGTTAGCTACTGTTAGTGGGCCACCAACAGCTGGGCCCCCCAGAGGCAAATAGAAGTGGAGACTGAAGATCAGCAGCAGGTATCTCAACAGTACCAAGATGATAAGGATGCTTCTAGCCGCCCCACCCTCCCTAGCAACCTGATCTATGTTCTCCACTGTTCTAGCAGCAGCTGACCTTCAGGAACAGTTAGACACACCAGGAGCAGTTACAGCAGCAGGATCGGCTACAAGAGTAGCTATAATATAAAATTAAAATCTGCGAGGGGATTATAGAGCTGCTGAAGTGCATGAGGGGAAGTGAAGTGATACTGACCCCCCCTTCCACCTGCTCCCCCTCCCACCCCCTCCAGTGTAACACGGGTTCGGGTTCCTCTCTCTTTACTTCCTTCTTTCTACTCCCTCTACCCGTATTCTTACTTTTATTTCTAAACCAAGGGACTCCAAAACTTTTAACAAAGCCAACTCCACGCCACGTGGTCCTAAGACGATTGACCGACTTAGGATTCTACACCCAGTATGACGTGACCTAAGCTCTGAACAAAACCCTAGAGTCACCTCTGCTGCCACCACCAGACCAGTAATACAAGAGCAATGATCGAGGTCTGGATCGATCACGCTAATTAATCAACCTAGGGGCTTGATCCCCACTATAAACGATGACCTTGAGTGTGGAATAAATTACACGGTAATGATAATTCCGATTCGATGTTAGAATCGGCGCCCAATGCAACTCTGCCTCGTGTGGACCACGTGACCAGGACAAGTTTACACATAACCAAATGGAAACAATAAAATGCAAATTAATAACAAATTTAATTTATTAAAAGAAAACTAAAACAAAATCTAAATGTGTTCACTCCCTATCACTTTAACACTCCCTACTTGACCTGAATGGCAAATGAGAAGACTATTTCTATACATAACCATAGCAACTATACCTTGGGCGACCAGCTAGATGTCTTGGGGAGAGGTAAGATGTTTGACCTCTCCCAGCTGCTCCCGTATTCACACTGACTTGTCCTCGTCTGGCCTAGCCCAGACTAGAACCTTGTATTGTTCCGCATCGCTTACCCAGTTACTTTAGCACGGTTAAGTTATAACAATTATCCTCTGTTTATACTGAATTGATCCAGACTGGTTGAATTATTTTACTGAATTAAATTACAAACATCTAACGGCAGAGCTGTTCCCGATCACAAAAATGGTTATTAAAACTTTGAGAAATATTAGACATGTCAACCCTGCTGACCTATGACCGCCGGTCACTCCGCCTCAAAAGTTAGATCTGATTCGTGACGTCACTGATGGTGACTTAAACTCAATAATTAGAATACTCTTGATATTGTACCCAGTACTATTATACAATACAATTTTAATGCAAAATGAATAAAGGCTAATTTTCTCTAAATTCCTGAATACTATAGGATGATTCATTATACGCAGATATGAACAAAGCGTCGGTTATTTCCACCGCGAATTCCCCTGGGGGTCAGGTCACCATGCGGCTCAGCTTCCCATTCTCTTTTGTCGATAAACCACTCTGGATAATTCTTACAACAGCCTAGTTTGTTACAACCCCCCCGCACAAGCACTTAGTAAACCTTGTTAATTTGTTAAAATTCACGAGGTTTAGTATCCAAACCCACAATTCAACTCATGCCACAAACAAAAGCTAACCTAACTAATAAAATTTGACAAATAATAGTCCAACATCATAATGAACATGTCCATATTTCATAAATTTCTCAGCTGTCAACTGACAGCAATCCTCCAATATCAGGAAACATACATCCTATCCTTACTGACATAGCTAAATAACATGTCCCTACTCTACCATCAAAAACTAGCTATTAAACTCTCTTGGCTCTTCACTAGCCAAGTCCATGTGTCCTCTAGAGCCGGCCACACCGTGCTCAAACAACCATTAAAGTTATAAGTTCAGACTGAACTTTCAGTCATCCGGGAGCGTACTACGGAACTATCAAGTTCACATCCGTGTACTAACCACTCCCCATCAATGTCAACCTTGACATGTTAAGGAACACACCTAATGTTTATTACATGTATCTAAAAATAAAAAAAAAATTCCTATACTATATCACAGGTTTCAGCTGACTGTACAGCCAAGTGTTCTCACTCACTAGAAGTGTCAATGTTTATATTGGTCCGCCTCTCCTGTGTTCAAACATTCTGAAAAAAATAGCACAACATAATTTTCCATAACCGTTTGTTCTGGGCTGAGACAATTACACAGGGGCTTCGATTTTGATTACTGACCAATTTATAGAGTAAAATTTTCATATATTATACCAGAATTATTTTAAATCTGTTTTTCAACATTTAAACAAAAGTGTCCAGATGTTCTTTACACAGATGTTCAGAGCCAACTTTGTTGTTTGTATCAATTGTTCATATTGAGTAATCGAAAAAAAAAAAATCGATGCTGCTGGATGCTGAATGTAGTCGCTGACGATGACGGTGTCGATCTTGCTTCTTCTCATGTGTAGACATCAATACCTGGTCCTCTTGTACTCCCATCCGGTACTCTTGAATGACGACAGAGTGTAGTAGAGCGGAGTGCCAAGTGACAGCTGTAGAATACTGTTACTTCGGCCATTAATCTTGCTCTCGACAGTCCACACGCCTTCATATCAATCACAGTTCACACGGCAGTCTTGATGTTAAACTTGACGTCGCAGATGACCACAGCAGAGCAGAACTGGATGTACCAACGGTGTCTCTTAGCAGGAGTGGTGTCAGAAGGTCGTAGAGGCGGGTTGCTTGTTTGCAGAACAGGTGAATCTCGTCTTCCATCATTGCTCACGTCATCTCAGGCGTTTCTTGATGTCACCAGGTTACTAGGCCGTAAACACCAACTGTGCATACCCTCGTACCGCCGACTTTAGGCCAAAGGAGACAATTTTGCGACCTTCTATTGGCGAGTCCCGGTACTCTGTAGGGAAACCGTGCCTTCCACCTGTGACCGCCTTACTTCTGCTTTCTTGTTACTTCAGATGACGTAATCATTAATCTTCCGGCGAAATTCTTGAGTACTGCTACGTGCTTTCCATTTCTTGACCTCTCCTCCAACACTGCTGGAATGACTGCAGTCTTGATGACGCAGCAGGTGGGTATTGGTGATCTCGAGACAGCTACCCCGGCGTTGTATGGCACCTCCGGTGACTGCTATAATGTGGACAGCTCGCTGGCCCTGACAACCTCGTTAGTGACGTGAGGCGTCGGCCGGGTGACTCTTGGACAGTCACTCATCCCCAAAGTAACTGATGTATGGGTTACTGGGTCTAGTGGGGGGAGGGCTTTGTGTAACGTGCCTCCCCCCTCGGTCTTTACAGACAAGGGTTCACGTGTGGCTGGAACAACTGGGTCGGTGTACCAATCAGACCTGGGAACAGACAGACACAACACAGCGGAAGCATAGATATACTCTGGGTTTGGTGGAGGTGGAACCCCAGAGCACGGTAAAAGTTGCTACCTGAGTCAAGTATAGACATAGTACATCTCATTGCCTTTACAGGAAAATCTAATGAATACTAAATTATACTAACCAAGGAAGTTACTTTACTGTATAGCGCGAGATCTCGTCACCATAGGGTGGCGAGACTGCACCTGACTACTGATGAGCGATGACAGAGGGTCATCCTCATCTTCTGACTCGTCGGTGAAGCCATGAGTCAGCACTGCTGAGTCAGGAACTAGACCCGCTGAAGGCAGTTCTAATTCCTCTCTAGCATGATAATGTTTCAATTTATTTACGTGAATTGTCCTTTCCACCTGGTCCTCGAACACTCCTTTTATAACAAGATTAACCGGCCCCGCCCTTTTAATTACTCTATATGGTCCTCGCCACCTCGGAGCTAGTTTCCTGCTCTGATTGGCGGGCGCAGCCTCATTCACTCTCAATACGAGGCTTCCTTCCTTCAACTCAAGAGGGCGCACTTTCTTGTCATAAAAATGAGCATACCGAGTCCGTGCCTTCTTGGACGCTTCAGCTGCAATATTCCAT